GAGCGTGAGCGTTTCCCCTGGGTCGTCTCCTGGAAAGAGAGCGCTCGAGAGTAAATCTGCACCTCCTCGTGCTGAGCGTCCAAGTCAAGACACAAAGACTCCACCTGTGGGCAAGGGCTCGCAGGCTGGGAAGGAGAAAAAAGACCCCAGCCAGAAAGTGAGCGGTTTGGCTGCCAAGGTAAACGGGCGAGTGAGCGCTCTGGGTGCTGGGCAGAGCTTCCCTTTACAGCTGTGGTTCTTCTGCGCTGTCGGTAAAGCTGAAGAGCACGATGCTGGGGGTAGGGGGTGAAAGCAGGGACCACTAGAAAAGTGTTTCTTTGCGGTTTGGCTTTCCTGTGTCAGTTCTAGCACCGCTCTCACTGAGTGGCTGCTGTTACCCCCACGAGCTGTGACCTTGTCTCTTCTCCAGCTCTTGGTGCTTTGTAGATATCTGTGCTCCATTCACAGACAGGCCTGCGAAGCCTTAAGTTGCTGTTGGTTATCTTTCATTTTCGTTGTGTTCCACCCTCTGTGGACCTGTGGTTTATTGAGTTTGTAGATCGGATTCCTCTTGCAATCCACGCATTATTTTCCTTGACCAGCAGCCTCCCTCAGTGAGGGATTAGTATTTCCAGAAGTGTCAAGCTAGCCGGGATGCTGTGATTTCTGGATGCTCCCAGGCGTCTGAAGAGATGTTGGGTATTTCTGCAGATGTAATTCCAGACTCTCCTGTTTAATTGGGTGGTGGTTGTCTTCCTGTCGCAGAGTGGAGACACAAAGGAGAAAAAGGCGACCCCAAGTGAGAAAGTGAACCAAGTAACTGAGAAGACAAATCAGACCAAAGGACCTGAGGTTGCTGGAAAGGAGGATGCTTCAGCTGTAACAGACAGTCTGAAGGACAAAAAGCAACAGAGGAACCAGAAACCCAGGGATAAGGTCAAAGAAAGGTGAGAACACCCCTGCTGCTTCCCGCATTTACACTTACAGGATTTGGCCTGAAGAGGAGTCCAGACTGGGGCAGGGGATTGAAGTAGTAAGATCAGGTCTGCGTGTGTCTTGGATATGTAGAAATGGGATTGCCTTAAAACTGAGGTCAACTGCTGCTCGTGGAAAGGAAAGCCCACCTTTCATCGGGGAATTGCAGGTCGTGTAGTGGGTAATATGGTGGTACTTGAACCTTTTTGAATCTGATGAAGAAAAAAGAGATCGCCCTCTTCTTTCTTACTCGCTTCACACGCGTAACTCTTCAGATTAATGGTGTGAGGAGTTGTTTTGATTGGTGTAACTTTGTGTAATGAGTGTGAGCTGGAAGAGGGGTGAAGCGTAGCCATTTCGGGCGGCTCTGCTGGGTGAGGTGTTTCTGATGCTTGCCAATGCAGTGACCCAGATGTGCATGGCCAGAGCATCTTGTGCTGCCTTTAGGAATCTGTTTCCTTTTCGTGCTAGGCTTTATGCTGGGCCTGCATCAGTTTGAGAGAACTGTTGACAGGGCTTGCATCAGGGCTAGTGGCTGAAATCTTACTGTTTGTAATGATCTGTGCTGTTTAAAAGAAAAAGAGTCACTACTAGAATTCTTTCTGCTTTCCTTTAGTTCTGTGAGCCAAAGTGATGGTGTTACAGTGTATTTCCATGCAATATTGTCCAAAGACTTCAAACTGAACCCTGAGACCCATAAAGTGTTCATCAGGGCTGGAAACATTTCTCACTACGAAAGCTGGAAGGACAACATTTGTGAGCTGAGCTGCACCAAGTGAGTACCCTCTGGAGTCACACAGGAGTGTGTTGGCTCCGGAGAACAGCGCGCAGCGTGGTACTTCATGTAGTACGTAAGACTGTACGCCCAGAGGTGGCTGTTGCTGCAAAGGGTTTTCATAGTGGAGGTAACTACCCCAAAATGTTCATCGTGAAAGAATAATCACCACTGCTATTAAAAATGGAAGAATGTGTGGGAAAGGAAGTATACAGACCAGCTGACGTGTCCTTTGCTGGCTTGTGTTTCCCAGGCACCTAGAGGAGCATGGGTACCTCATCGAGGGCACTGTGACTCTTGCAAAGGACAACATGAACAAATACATTCCTTACAAGTACTGGGTTGTCTGCGAGCAAGGGAAGTATGAATTCATTTACCGGCAGCCAGTTACAAGTTCTTACGTGAATCGCTGCTTGTTGATTAAAAGCGACCTGCTCAGCAATGGAGGTGAGCTCTTCTTCTTGTAGTCCAGAACGCATTTTTATTGATTAAAGTAGTTAAAGGAGGTATTCATTACAAATATGTGTGCATGAGTGCTTAGAGAAGGTTCGTACCAGGGAGTGCCGGGAGAAAGAGGAGCTTCTGGGGCAGTAAGAATGCTGGTGGTATTTCTGGTACAAGGGGAGAGGCTGCACCCCTGGTACCGTGGTCTCCCAGGTACCTACCAAACGTAGGAGAGTTGTGATAGGGCAAAGGTTAGGTAATAACTCTTCTCACTTTTGTATGTCAAGAAATTAGGTGGAGGTGGGCTTTACAGTAGATCAATACCTTGTGTGGGATATTGTGGTAGTGGGCAACCAATCATAGCAAAAATTAAAAAGTAGACGTTTTATGCGTATTTGTATAATCTTGTGAAATTGCTTTGTTAAAAATGTATAAATGAGCTGTGAAAATGTGTGCATTTTGGAGCACAATTAGAGGAGCGACGCTCTGTGTTCCCCAGCGCTGCGAATAAAGAAGTGCCTCCTACCTGCCACTGCGTAGATCAGTTTCTCTTGTCGTGATTGCGACCCCGTCAACATTCTGCCTGGGTCTGCACACTGGGATGATGCACGGGTTTTTGGTGGGGTGAGCTCTAACTTCACCTGGGGCTGGCACTGGGATTAGACAGCCCTGCCTGAAGTTGGGAGCTTAATGAGGGGGTGGGGGTATTTCTGAGGACAGGAAGAGCGAAGGCATGCACAAACGTGGGTTTTTCTCAAATGATTGTTTTCCCACCTTCTCGTCTGTGTTGCTTGTTGCAGAGTGGCACCAGTACGATGACGTTGTGTGTGCAGAGCCTTCCGTAGTGAAACACTTGTGGCAGTGGCTTTCTCGCACTCAAAACAAGCAAGTGGTGGAAGGGAAGACGATAGCTGCAAGTATCATGTTAGAAAATATCTTCAGCATTCTTGGGACCTGGAGTCCTGACAACCTGAGAAACTTCCTCTGCCAGCTGCATCAGTTTTATGTTGTGACGGTGAACCCGTGCATACACGATGGCAAGGAAACGCCGTGGACAGAGTTAAACTTCGGCACAGAGCAGGTAACCTGTCTGCTTGTAACAGATACCAGAAAACATTACTAAATACAGATCTGTCATTTTGCTGTGGAACAGCTTGGGTTAATTTTGCTTTGCCAGTTGAGCCACAAGCTGTGATGGTCAAACTGAGCAGGATAGGCCTTGAAGTAGAATGATGGGGTGAGACCCTCCTAAGACAACAGCCACCAAGGAAAAAGGGCTGACCCCGTCCAACTCCCTAATTTACAGTGAGCGTGATGTTTATAGTGTGGAGTAATTCTGTTGGCCAGCTTGGGATCAGCTGCCCTGATTTTCGCTTCCCCCTGCTTCTGCACCCGGTTAACTTGAGACTGCTAAAGACCTTGACTGCATACCAGTGCTGTCTGAACACCAAAACAAAGCGTCTTATCACCTTTATTCCCATGAAATGGAGTGTTGAGGTCTTTGCAGAAGTGCAGCTTTCCTGCACAGAAAAGTGATTCTGTGGTTCTGTCACAGGGAAACCAGGACATGTGGTGACTTGTTACCTGAGTGGGTTTGTGTCTGGATATTCATTTCCTAATCCTGGCCCTTTAGTTTTGCCGCGCTCGTCTTTGGCTCCACGCCTGCCTTTTTTTCCCTGATCTGAGCTCCTCCTGCTCCAGGTCTGAGCAGTGAGGCAGACAGGGCTTCTGGAGTCCTAAATTTTTTACCTGGCGTAATTATGAAATGTGGCAGAAATGTCCTGTTTTGGGGCTTTGGAGCTGTGTGTGCAGCCTCTCTCCTGGTGCAGCGGGAGAGGCCACAAGGTGGCACACCCGCCCAGCTCACGGCACTGCTGGCTTTCAGAAGAGCGATTTTGGGATCACCAAGCACCCCGCAGTACTCTGGACCCCCGGGATGTGACTTCAGAGTAGCTTTTAGGGTATAAGGACAGAGATCTCTCTCCCTTTGACTCCCAACCAAGCCTGAGTCCCCTGGGAAGCTGGAGTCTGCTTGCCCAGTAAGGCTGTGGTGCACGGTGGTGACCTAAGGCAGCGTTGGGTGTTCAGCTGCTCAGCTCTCTGGTTCCCTTCCCTTCCCCATCTGCCTTGGGCCCTTGACTCTCCCCAGAAATGCTGGGTGTGGGGAGGTGCAGCAGCAGCTGGGAGCTGGGGGCATGGAGAGGGACACCAAAGCATTGCAGGCACGGGGGCACCAAACCACCACAAGTACTGGGACACCACAGCTGATGTGCCAGTGATGGTCAGTACCGTGTGTGCTTCCATCCTGGTACCACGGTGGGGTGTACAGGGCTATTGAGTGTTCGTGCTGTAATCTGCAGAAGAAAGTGGCTTCAGAAACCAAAGACTTGTTGGGGAACTAATGCTGTGCTTGGTGTGTTTCCTCCCTTCTTCATCCTAGGTGAATGATTTGCTGCTAAAGTATATGGGGAAAATAGCTCATCCTTTCCTTGCACCAGAAGGTGCAAAAGCCTCGCAGAAGGACGCAGTAATAAAAAGTAAACTAGCTCTGGGGCTCGTCATTCTCTCAGTAGTTGTAAAGCTCGAGCTGCCTGCATCTGAGAGCAACCTGGCTGACCTGTGTAGCCTCTTGTGCTTGGAAGAGGTGTCACAACAAGCTGTGCTGGATGAAATCCATCAAATCAAAAAGGCTTTTACAGCAGTTGCTAGGTATGTATCGTACTGGAGCACTTTCAGGGTCGCTAACTGCGCTGCTCCTGCTGCAAGCGTAGCGCCCTGTGCTAAAGCAATAAGGGACTCGGCTCTCTAGTGTCAGAGAATCGGGAAAAAATGAGATTTAAAGGGATCTTTGGAGGTCTGTGTTCCAACCTCCCGCTCAAAGCAGAGCTGAGACTGCAGTCCAGCTCTGAAGAGCTCCAGGGATGAAAACTGCACGACCTCCGGGGCCCTCCTGCAGTCACGTATCTCTCTTGATGTGAGCTTTTGTCCAAACAGGCTTCCCCTTATTGCAACTTGTCACTGTTGCCAGGGTAGTAGATTGAGTTAAAACTATTGGTTTTAATTTATAGATAAAAAATCTTATTTGTTACCCTGTTCTGTCAGGCAGTTTCTGCCTTCTTGCCTGCTTGCTATTCGTACAAACACCAGCGATCAGGATCACCCCGTGTTTACGTATTTAAATTGAAATGCTTTATTTGGATTCTTCCTGTCTCTTGTGCTGTGCATCATTACACGTGTGTGGTGGTGATTTTTCCTCAGCGTGCCTGCTTATCTAACTGCTCCTCTGGCACTTGAATTTCTGGTTCTTCGCTTGCACAACTGCAGCTGTTAAGTTTTCTCTTGGAGGCCTTTGTATAGGGCCTCAGCCCAACCAAGGAGCTGAGAGTTGGCCCTCGGATGCCTGGCTCTGCATCTGTGCCACCCAGTCCCTGGCTGAGCTGAGGGGCTCACGTGGAAACTGTAGATCAAGTGTTGGCACTTCTTAGTGCTGAGTTGGTTTGTGCAGGGTCAGGTGAGATTGCAGCTTTGAGCCTTAAACTTTTACCCTGTATGCTCATCAATGAAGAGAAGACTGAGCTAAAATAAACATCACCAGTTATTTGAAGGTGTGTAGCAAGTGTGAGATGTAGCATCCCCCCCGCCCCCCAGGACATTCTTGACTCCTGTAAAAAGCTATTTTTAAAATATGTATGTTTGCTGTGGTATTTTTTTTTCCAGCTTGAGGGTTTACCTCACAGACCTGTGCCAGAGATGCATTGCTGCCCGAGTGAACCGGTGGGTGTGGATCCTCCCCCTCCTGCATTTCTTCGCTCCCCCCTTGCAGCACGACCACTTGCCGATGGAAGAAGATACCTGGGCAGGGCTGGAAGGGCTTCCCTATGCAGAAACAAGGCAGCAGCAAGATGGGTGAGTTTTCCAGAACTGCTGGTTACATCCAGTGCCTTGACGTTGTAGTTGGTGGTGGTCAGCTTTACCTCTTTTTTCCCCAAATTCATCTTGTTTTTAAAAAATTAAGCAGCATAGCATGTTGATGGTGGATATTTGGGATGCATGAACACAGCCTGTGTTGGTTGCTGAGCAAAGCTGTGCAGTACGTTGCCTTTCAGACAGAAACAAGCCTTCATTCTGCAAGGTGGTGATGCCTGGCGTGAGCTAAAGCAGCTCGTGATGTGTTGTGCAGAATCTGAGCAAGACCTGGAGTTCATTTTCCTTGAGTGCTTCCGCTCAGTGGTTTGACACCGCTTCTGTGGTTACGGGGTCTCGGTCTTCTACCGATCTTCAGCTGTAGATGAAAAAAGCAGAGGAATGAGGAGTTCTCTGTGGGCTGAACAAGCTTTTAGCCTTTTGTGCCTTGAAAACCTGAGGGTTTTGGTTTGTCTTCCATCCAGGGGCACCCTACTGCAAGTAATGAAAGAAAAGAAATACCTCATGGAGCTTGACAAGACTCTGGTCAAGTCCTGGATCTGCGTGCTGCCCCTGCAGAGCCTGCCTGAATTTATAAAAGACTTCTCCGGTGATCTGTTAGCTGCTCTTCAAGGTGTTTGCTACAGATTGGAGCCCACTGACCTTTTTAGGTTTGTCCTGGCAGCTTTGCCCGGCTGGTAGCGTGGCAGAGCACGAAGAGCTTAACATTTACCTGCATGCAAAACCAGTTGCTCTGAAGTAGGAGACTCCAAAGAGGAGATGGGAGGGTGGATCTGTAGCAAAAGATGCTGTTGGCACTGATGAGAGAAGGGTCTGCTTATCTGGGTTTCCTCTTAGTCACTGATGGCAAATATTTGAATCCTGAGATCCTCAAATGGGTGCCCGGAGCTACCCTGTGCCCCTTTTCACAGCTCTTCTGGGTATGGCAAGGTGCTGCTGCCTTTGAGAGATTTTCCTGCTTGCTGTGAAAACACTTGTATTTGTAGGATAGCAGGAACTGGACATTGCAACTACTCACATTAAATTTTAAACCCCTAAGTGTTAAACCCCATAAGAAGTGCAGGTTTTGTTTGGACAAATAGCCACCTATATGTTGACTCTGACATCCAGTAAAAGAACAGTGTAATTTTATAGCATGCTTATAAAAGCATTGGAGAAGCCATGGAGATGAATACTGAGTTCCTTCTTTCACAGCATCCTCTCAACTAATAACCAACCAGTCTGCAAAATTCCTCCCACAGATGAATATTTCTGTCTTTCCCTTCTAGGTAGTAGAGAGTCTCCTAGAGGCACTGCTGCGTGCCTCGGGTGAGAAACAGTCCAGGTAAGTGAAGCGCGCTTCTGTGCGAGCATCATCTTTCTTTACACCACGGGGTGGGGTTGTGCTCGAATGTGTGCATTGAGGGCTGTGCAGGTAGCAGAATCCTGTATTTCTATCCCTCTGTCAGACAGCCGCGCTTTTACAAATCCCTTCTTGTCACACTATATGAAATTTTGGGGTGGGTTGGGGTTTTTTTAATTTAACTTTCCTCCGAGCAGAAAAGAAACCCCTCCTCTTTCTGCCTGGCCTCCAGGGCTCTGGAAGCTCGCTCGTGGCAGTCCTGCCTGAGCTGCTGCCTCAAGCTGCACAAGAAGGCCTGCAAATATGTGAAGCATTTCATGATTCCTGCCACTTCTGCCATGATGATTTCTCAGGTGGCCAAGCTTCAGCCTGCAGCAGTGAGTACCAAGGAACCGTTCGTGGGTTGATAGGAGAGCGATATCTGGAAGTATTAAAAAATTGGTACAGCAGACTGGTTTGAGGTCGTATCCATTCTCAATCTGGAGACCTTAATACTCTGAATTAACCAAGACTGTGGTACTTTGAAAAACCTGTGAAATCACTTAATGGCTTTTATTCTTGTTATTAACAATAAAGTAAGTGCTTAGGTTGGCTGTCACGGGTTTTGGTTTTTGTCTGTTTTGGGTTTTTTCCCCTTAGACATATGTTGTCTTTACTTCCTGGAATAAGTGTTCTTAAGCACAAACTATTTGTAAGCACTGCATTTTCCCTGCCTTCCTTTATTCACGTAGTGGTGGGTCTCTGTTGCTGGGCATGTTTGTGCTTTGGATGCATTTAAGCTGTCTCATTTAGAAATATTGATTTAAATCACTTGTACGTTGCTCTCCTGCTTGAACTGCTCTTACTTCTTTTAACTTTTCTCCCGTGCGTGGCAGGTTCCAAGAGATGCTGTGAAGGAAGTGCCAGTGGTAGAAGTATTCAATGAAGCTCTGAGAGACACTCGAACCTGGTTCAGAAATGCTTTAAATGAGAAGTTATTGAAAGAATACCTGGAGCATGTCACGTTCTCCTTTCATTGGGAGCTTTTGGTTTGTCATTAAATTAATTATAGTGAACAACAGAATTAGTAATATTAATAGAAAGGTGTTCTACTGAAGTTTAACCATATCTTTAGTCTACTGGCTCTTTGCTGGGAACTGTGGCTGGGGAAGGAATGAGATGGGGACGGGCAGCACTGACTATGAGAAGCTGCATCGTTTTAAACACCATTGGGCTGAAAAGCCCAGGGCTGCAATTGGTGCTGCTCAGCTCCCTTATGGCTCCTTTTTCTCAGCTGTTGCAAGAGGCATTGCTGGGATGAGGAGCTGCCCCTGGCTGGTGCTCAGCTGGAGCTGTTGTGCTCGCCTTGTGTGTCCGCTGTCCTTCAGGTCTTCAGTGGGCAAAGCACAGAGCAAGTCCTTAACTCTGACTCTGCTCCCTGCCCTCCCTGGGACAGCTCCCAGCATCAAGGGGGGAGTGGTTCAGCCAAATGTCTCCTTTAACAATCGAGATGTTTTGGCACTCTTTGGGCTTAAAAGCTGCCTTTTTGCAGCTCTGGGAGTGCTCTTTTTCTTCTGGATGGCTCGGCATAGTTCTTCTAATTTCCTTATTTGAATGTTAAATCTCAGCACTTGGTGTTTTGGGTTTGTTTGCTTCTCACCTGCAGGCCTGGAATGTGTTTGTGACAATGAGCTTTCCAAATGAGCAGTTCACGGAGAGGTGGAAGAAGACTTTACTTGCAGATCTGGAGAGAAGAATTCGGGAGGTAGGAGGGACCACAGGCAGTCACTGCGTACCAGAGGGGCAGGTTGAGAGCAGACAGAGGGTCTTCTGCTGTGCTCCAGCTTCTTCTGTAGTTTGAACGGGCATGTGAACAAGCAGCTTTGGTCATAAAAATTGCCACTGCTGTTAAAAAACATCATCTGGGGCTCAAAGATCAGACGTGAAACTGTACCATGCTGTGTTCTTGGCACCAGAGACTCCAGTAGCCTGCTAGCCTGGCTCCTCTTCTAGCGGTGTCCAACATCCTTATGCTTTAAAGACATTGCACGTTCTGAGCAGTTACCACCCCTGTAGTGTTAAGAGACAACGAGTGTAAAGTAAGCACCCAGGCACTTACAGAAGCAAAGTCGGCGCTTGTCTCGTCACTCGTGCAGAAAGTGTGTGGTCCAGGCTCCCAGATGCACACGCTGTGCGGGTCCCTTCTAAACTGGACTTAATCTCTCATCTCCTTTCTGCATCAGTTGCAAAATTCTCTAAGCTATTGATTTTCATGATATAATCAGGAAATGAATATATCCTGGTGGAAGCTTGGCTTGGAGAGATGAGCATTAAGTTATCACAAGTTTTAGACTGAAACAATCTGAAAGATTTCCCCAAGCATTTACTTGTGTTTCATCTCTTCCAGGCCCTGAAAAATGAGCTGGGGCTTGGCTGCACTAGGAAACTTAATTTCTTCACTGTAGTTCCTGTTATTGTCTTAATAGCAGTACTCTGTGCTTTCAGAAGAAATGCTTTGGCAACTTTTAAGTTGATATGAAATCTCCCTTTTGCTCTGTAGGAGCCTCCATTTAACCAGATCTTGGTCTACTGCTGTCAGCACTACCAGTTTTCACAGCTGGACTCTTCCATCGAGTGGTGTTTCAGTAATTGTGCCATAGAGGCTGTAGCTGTTGCTTGCCAGGTATTGTATTTTCCCTCAAGGTAGGAAAAGGAAAAGTCAATTTTCTTGTTACATAGAAATGCTGTTGTATAGTGCAGGGATGCGCGTTGTGGTGGAAGGAGAGCGGCGCATTCTCATTGCTTGAGTTGCTGTGGATTGCTTAAGGTTGTCGAACCGACAGCAAGAGGTCGTGACCAGAAATCAAGAAATGAGGATCCACTGATAGAGGGTCCATGAAAAACACTTGTAATGCTTTTGCCAGCGTGGCTTCTGGTGTCAGTCACGTCATACGGCTGTTTTGGGATGTGCCTCAGCAGTGGGGATGTGACTTCTTGACATCAGTGCCTGAACCTGAGGCTGTGTAACCCAAAACATTGATGCCTTCCTCCTGTCGGTCTTGTGTGCCTTGTGCAGACTCAGAGCAATCTCCTTGAGAAGTTATCTTCCTGCAACCTGGGCCGGTTCAGCCAGCTCGTGTCCGCTATTATTGTGAAGTCGTGGCCCATCAAGAGCGGGCAGTCTGAGAATTTTGACGAGATTTTGCACCATGTGCTTACGTGGCCTGACATCCAACGGATCTTCAGCTTTAATGGTACGTCCGGCACTTGTGTTTATGGGGCTCTATAAAGAGCTGTTCTCTGCCTCGCCTTCTGCCTTCTGCTGACTGGTTATTGATCCTGCCTAGCTTTTGGGAGGCAGGGCCTCTCTCGGTTTGACATGCTGTGTTTCTGAACAGGAACAAACGCCAAGCTCCTGGAAGAACTTACAGATGAAGCAAAGAATATCATGGCCACAGCAGACTCTGTGTTTACGAGTGTCACCCATGACATCCAGAAAGGGTCTATCCGAGTGAAACATCTGGAAGCGATTTTCCAGCATGAGAAACAGTTCCTCTGTATCTGGGAGATAAGTAAGAGCACCATTCAAAGTGGCCTTGTTGGCATCATTGCAGTGGTCGATGGCTTGCTCTGTTAAGCTGATTGGGTGATTAGTAACGCTAATTAGGTGCTTCAGCAGTTAGCAGTGCTGCCCTAGCCTTTGTCCTTTATGTGGAGCTCCCGGCTCTGGTTTGTGTTTCACTGTGTTGTTTTTGTGACTCTGCAAATCCAAACCTGAGTTCTGGGTGCAGGGGATGGGGAAGTATCGGCCTTGTGACTACAGACGAGTTTTCTTTCAGAGCACCAGCAGATGTTATGTGAAGACAGAGAAGTATTCCAGAGACAACTGGAAGAGTTGCTGCAGAGGAGGCAAGAAGAAGTAGCGCTTCTCAGAGAAGAGAAAAAAGCAATAGGCACCTTTCTGAACATGTGTAGGAAGGTGCAGGCAGCTGTGAAAGGTAGAGTTCTGGGGAGCGGTTTGCAAGTGGCAACTCCAGAAAACATCATTTTCTTGGGAAATGACGAGGCTTTGTAAACAGGCTTTATTTGAACTGATTCCAAGAACACTGGAAAATAAGCTCACTCTCTAAGACTCCTCTTTGAGTTTTAGAAAGCAGGAATTCTTTATTACGCACAGGGAGTCCCCAGGATCATTCCTTGGGAGGACTCCGATTTCCCATTACAAAGTGATTGTTTATATGCTCCCTATCATACATATTCATGAGATATCTGAGAACTCATTAATATGAAGCAGGGTTTCCTCCAAAAATCATTAGCATACAACCCCTCCTATCTGGGCCTGTGCCCTGCGACCCTCTGGTGGTCTTTGGAGGGTCGTGGGGATGAAGGCTCATGGTCTTCATCGCTGTAAACTTTTCACCTTTCTCCCAGAAGCAGATGTATTTTGTCACTCATTGTGCTAATTGGGCATTATCAGCACTATTTCTCTAAACATCTTTGGCTACACAAACACAGGATACCGATGTTTCATCCCCGGACATTCCTAGATAGGGTCAGTAGGACAGACAAAGAGGTTTCTGTTCGATTGGGGGATACCATTGATCTTCACAGAATGTGCTCGGGCCTTCTGCTTATCTGTGGGATTGCTGAGTCTGCAACTGAGTTTCACAAAGGTCCTAACAAGCAACGACTTTAACCTCTTCTCAGAAACCACAGCAAGGGGTGGGGGAAGTAAACCTAGAGCATTTAGGGGATCAAATGAGTGCTTGTGCACCAGATGACATTTGTAGGAGTCCACATGCCCAATAGCATTTGTGACTTAGTGAATTAGGTGAAGTAAGCTGGGTGCAGGTTGGACATCCGATCCATCTCTGACCTATCTCTGCTTTAAAGTGAATGTAGGTGCAGTGGAATCCCAACACTTGGAAGATCTTAGCTCGAAAAGACTAAATACAGTTGTGAACATGACGAAGAGACCGACAGAGACCTACTACAGCTTGAGCCCGGAGCTGAAAGAATCTGCCCAGAAAATGCACTCTTTCAAGGACAGCCTGATCTTCCAGCAGTTCTGGGAGGAAGCAGCGCAGAAGGCAGGAGAGGAGTACGAAAATTCAGAAGAGGAATATGAATTTTCAGGAGAGGAGGTTGGAAGTTCAGAAGAGGAGGACAACTTTGTTCCTGCGTTGGAACTTGATGAAGTTTTCAGCAGTATAATCTCCCCTTGTTTTAAGAGATATGAAAGGCTGTACGGTGATCTCAGATCTGGAAGTCTCACGCTTTCCACAGTTGATAAAATTTTCCAGCAGTTCAGAAATCAACCTGAAGATATCAAAACTGAACTAGATACCATATGTCAGCTTAGGCCTGGAGAAGACAGGGGCTGGGTTGATCAGCGATTTCGGCAGATCCAGCAATACCACGAGATGCATTTATCTTTTGATGCTGCGAAGATCATTGCCAACGTCAAAGAGAGTTTAAACCTCTCTGGTGACTTCAGTATCCTGGAAAACTTGTTGGACATAGTGAGTATCCACCCCTTCAGCTCTGTACTGTGGGGGGGTTGGCTAGAAAGCTTGGGTAAGCTGGAACCTTCCTGCAAGTCTGTCCCAGTCAGGGAATGGCTCTGGACAGTCTCAAAATGCTTATTTGAGATAAATTAAGTGTTCAAACCAAGTGCTTTTGCATAGTCTTAAAACAGAGAAGATGGTATTCCTCTGTCTGGGCTGTGGCTTTGCAGAGAGCTTTCCTTTTCCTGCTGCAGAACAGGGTTGTATTTCCCATTTCCAGACTGAATGTTTGTTTGCACCACTTGCTTTGTAGACAGAAAAGCTTGAATCATACAAGACACAAAAGCTGGACTCCATCAGCCCTGAGCTTATGCATGCCAAGAAACTGCTGCAGGGGATCACTGTGAACCGTCGCGAGTGTCTGAGGGAGCTGGCCCAGCAGAAGGAGTTTGTCTGCTGGGTCAGAGAAGCACTGAAAGGTGTGTGCTGCTCACCCAGAAAGTAGGCAGATAGTACTAGGAGGGGTGCCAGCTTGTGTGGGGGCAGGAGGAATGGCATATCCCTGGCCCATCTGCTTTTTCCTTTCGCATCTTCTGGTACTGACAGCTGCAGCCATCTCGGAGGGGTTTTGGTGAGGAACATGCTATGAAGCAGTCTCTCTAAGCACGCTCGTGCCACTGAAGTCTTGTGCAGCACGCAGTAGCTACCCTGCCCCATGGCTGGGCTGGGGCTGAAGGGTCGTGGGAGCTGCTGCTGTTCAGAGTCTCATCACTCGTGTGCCTGCCGGCTCAGCTGTGTTAGGTGCCCAGAGACACACACCTCTGCACTGCTTCCATCCTGGCTGTGACGCTGCTGCTCGTGGCAATGCGGAGAAAAGCCAGGGCCAGGGATGTCGGTAGTGCGGATGAACCCCCAGTGAAGGATGGGTGGAGGGAAGCTGCACAGGAGGTGCTGTTCAGAGGTGTTCTTTCTGCGTTTTCTGTGAAAGGCGGTGGTGTGGGATTGCATTAAAGCTGCCTCATTTGTTGTTCATTCGTCTGTTTATCTCATTTAAGATATAAATGAGCTGAAGGTCTTCGTAGACTTGGCGTCCATCTCTGCTGGGGAGAATGACATGGATGTGGACCGTGTGGCGTGTTTCCATGACACCGTGCATGGCTACTCTTCCCTGCTCTATGAGCTTAGGCAGGAGTCGGGGTTTGAGGACTTCATGAACTGCTTGAAGAAGCTGTGGCGAGCCCTGGACAGTGATGAAAATCTTCCCAAGAAACTGGTGAGTTCTGCTGGAGCAGGTCCTGTCTGCACCCTCCTGCATTTCTGCCTTCCAAGAGCGGCTGTGAGATCGACTGCACAAGGACAGCACAACAGCTCTTGTTATTGGAAGAAAAATACCTTGTTTCTGTGGCACAAAACCTCATTACAGCAACTGTAAGTGGCATAGCATGGATTTCTCCAGAGCACTGCAGAGGCTGTGAAGTGTGATGTGGTGCAGCAAGTGTTTGAATGATGGTGCAAAAGAGGGAAGGCAGGTGGCTGGGAGCTCTGTCTTATTCTTTGCGCAGGGTTTTTCTATAGCAAGAGGTGCTGAAGCACTGTGGGCTCTGTTTGTTCAGCCTCCCATGGTGTTGGTAAAGATCAGGCTGTGGCCAGTAGCCATTCCTCCCTTCCTCAGCCTGAAACTCTTATGCCAAGCCGAGCTGTTTGTCCTGAGCACAGCCTTAATCCTGCAAGAAGTGCCAAGTCAGAGCGATTAGGGCAGCGCCGTTTCTTCTCTTCCCACAGTGTGCTTCAGCTCACGACTTAGAGTGGTTGAAAACAGTGAAAGAGAGCCATGGCTCTGTGGAGCTGTCCTCGCTGTCCCTGGCAGCTGCCATCAACAGCAGAGGAATCTACGTTATCAGAGCACCAGCTGACGGTCAGAAGGTGAGGCTGCTGGCCTTTCCCTCCCCTCCTGCAGACAACGCTGCTGGCACAGTCACAGATGTGCTGTGGCTTTTCTCCCACTCTGCACAGATCCTTTTTGGGGGCTGCTGCCTCCTAAGTGCCCCCCTTGCTGGGCACAGCACTGCCTCGGGAGTAGAGCCTCGGTGCACAGCAGTGCTAATGCCTTACTCCCTGGCAGGTCTCTTTGGACAACGTCCTGCGCTTCTCCTTGCCGGGGGGCTCTGGCGACAATGAGGCCTTGTGGAAATACTCTCTGGCAGAGCTCCGGGAGCTGCAGAACAAACTGATGCTCATGTCGGCAAAGGGAGAGCAAGGCTTGGAGGTGGAGAAGTTCTCGGAGGTCAGATTTCAAGCCCACTGGGTTAATGGGGGTGGGTTTTGCCTTGCATATCAGCTTTTAGGACTGTGGTTTGCAGCCGAGTTGCTGGGGATGGGTGGTAGCAGGCAGACGGGTGTTCCTGCCTCTTCGGCTCCCTGTTGAGGTGGAGCTAAGCTGGAGACTGGACAGGGCACTGGTACCGCGTCCGCTGGCTGCACGGAGGATGTTCCTGGCCAAGAGGGTTGCTGTGCTTTTGTAGAAGCTGGGGATTCCACACTGGCTTCCTGGGGATAGTGGTGTTAAAAAGCCACTGTCTTTTGTCACTGTTCAAGGCCTGACACCTGGCTTGGGACCAAAGCCTTCAGTCTCAATGGAAGCATTTCCCGTGGTTTCGTGAGTGGGACTTGTCTTGATAAATCAGCTTAGTTTCTTTTCTCTCCTTTATCCTCACACAGATCTTTTCCAATGTCCAAAGACTTGCACAGGCCTTTATAGACCTTTATTCAGCTGGGAACATGCTCTTCCGCTCCTGGCTCGCCCACGTGTATTGTTCACCCAAAAGAAAATCCCGTGTTCTTATCGACTTCTCTTTGGGACCCATCCCAGTGCTAGAAGAACAAGGAGATATGGCAGCTGTGCTCCCAGGCCTTTGCAAGACGATGGAGAATTTCCTGGAGAGCTGGAAAAGCTTCATGTATGAGAAACGATTCCAGCATTTCTACCTGAACTACTACACTGCTGAGCAGCTGGTCTATCTGTGCACACAGCTGGGGCAGGGGACGCCCAGCCAGGACGCCCTGATGATGCTTTCGTTCCTAAAACGTAACTGCACCGAGCAGGATGTCCTTAGGTCCTCCCAGATTGAGGTGCCTCCCAGCTCAAAGAAGGCTATTTCTAACTTCCAAGTGATGCTGCCGTGGGAGAAGGACCTGCCCGCGCTGCTGGAGTACATCTGGGAGTGCTACATGAGCAGCATGGGCTTCTTCCTCCCCAGCTGCCTGGATATCGATACGCTTGGGGGGCGGCTGAAGGCCCTGGCCAGCTGGGAGACGGAGCGCGTCACACGAGACTTCCCACAGGATCTTCTGTGCGTGGGTCAGCCCAACCTCATCACGTGCCCCCGCGCGGAGGTGCTCACGGCTGCTCTGGCCATTTACATGAACAGCCCCAGCCAGCCCCTGCCCACCTTTGACGAAGTTCTCCTGTGCACTCCTCAGACCACTGCCGAGCAAGTGGGGCTCTTCCTCAGGAGATGCCTCATCCCCTGCAGCGGAGGAGCGAAGATTTACACCATGCTGTACGCGGATGAGCTGAGTTACGACGTCAGCTGCAGAGCGGAGGAGCTGTTCCAGCACCTGCAGCACTACAACAGCGCCTATCGCCTCGTCCTTCTGTGCAACTGCGAGAGGGAGCACAGCTACCTCCCTTCAATCTTCAGCCAGTACAAAGTGCACATGATACCCCAGCGGCCACTCGCCGAGATCCAGCAGTACCTGCAGCACCACTACAGAGTCGCTCAGCCCTCCAGCTCAGCCGCTGCTGTGTTCAAGGACAGTATGTGCGTTGGGATCGTGTCCTCCAAAAGAGCTGGCGTGGGTAAGGACGGACATGCAAAGTGGGGTCTGCTGAGGGTTGAAAACCAGAGTGGGGTTCACCTTGTCAGCTCTTCTGCCCAAGTCACAGAATCACAAAAGGTCAGGAGTTGGAAAGCTCCCCCAGTGCAAGCCCTGCCAGAGCAGGATCACCAGAGCAGTCACACAGGAACACGGCCAGGGCTTTGGGTGTCTGCACACAAGGAGACTCCACAACCTCTCTGGGCAGCCTGGGCCATGCTCTGTTGTAAGCATCTAGTCAAAAAATGATGCAGACTGTAGTCAGTGGAGTGAGGTGAGAGCTGTAAGGACAGCTCATCTTGTCCTGAGACACACATCTCTAGAGATGACTTACATCATGAACATAAACTACATAGCCAGTGCTGGGTGAGATGAATCTGACTTCCTGAGGTTAAAATCTGCCTGCAGGAAAACATGTGTGAGATGGGCCAAGGGTGTTAAAACCTGCCTGTTCTTGCATAGGAAATGATTGTTGGCTGTCTCTCAATGCAAAAAGCTGGAGGGCATTAAGTAAAACGACGTGGCGGGCTGAAAGCAAACAGAAGAAGGTGGTTATTCAAACAGCGCTCAGTTAAACTGTGAGACCCAAAGCTTTACACAGGCTTAGGAAGTGATTAGGTGTAGTCATGAGAGAAGCATCCATCAAGGGCTATTAAACATAAAGATGTGATCTGGAGTTCCTGAGCTGCAAACCACTGAAAATAATACTGGGGAAGAGTTGCTGTGTTCTTCCCCTGATGTTTAACTGTGGGCCCCTGTGGTCCCGTGGGTGCTCTGGCTGTCCAGCCGTGTGTGTTTCTGGTGTAAACCACGAGGCTGAAGTACTCGCAGTGCGTGCATACAGGAGCCACAGCAGACCTTGATGTTCCTTCCACCACCCGTTCTTGGGCTGTGGCAGTGCCACCCCGATGGAAAAGGTCAGGCTCGAAAGGAAAAGTGCGCTACGTTATTGTTAGTGAGAAAATCCAAACCAGGTTTGGTAACCAATTGCATCCTTGGTCAAACTTCAGAAATCCAGGGCAGCTCTCGGGTGTTACCTGTGAATGGCTGTTGCCTTAGCTTCAGTCTGGAAAGCCATGTACGCCCTCCTTCTTTGTCACATTACAAACCTTTCCCACTGCTGAGGTTGGGTGTGGAGACATCCATAACTGGGAAGTATCCGTGGAATGGACCTACCACAGCCAGCTCCTGCACCACATAGGCATAAGGAGCGTGATGGGCTGTGGAGCTGCCTTTCCACTCCCTGTGTTCACTGGGGAGCAGCAGAGGCAGACTACAGCCACCGTGAACTGCAAACCCAAGTCATCGGCATTGCTCCAGTGCTGGCAAAATCAGTTTCTGCAGCATAAGATAGGGAACCTGAGGGTGCTTTTATCTGTGACAACAACAATTTCCACCCCTGAGCCCATGTGTTGACTCCGGAAACAACCACATAACAGGGTAGATTCAAGTCCTAATAAGAAGTAAAGCCTTCCTCAGGCAGTTGAAGCAAAACGAGCTGTGTGGAGAATGACAGCCTTTGATTCCAGGCTGCTCTGGCCAGATTTGGGCTTTCTTCTTCTGCAGTGCCTTCTAGGAAGGCCTCTGGCCAGATTTGGGCTTTCTTCTTCTGCAATGCCTTTTAGGAAGGTTCAGAGATGTCAGGGGGTAGGGAACCTAAGCATTTGACTTCCTTCTTTCCATTATGACCTTAATATGATGTATTTGATATAGATGGCACTAATTCTTTTGGTGGTTTTTTAATACAACAGGGAAATCTCTGTATGTGAAGAGGCTACATGAGAGACTGCAAGAAGAGCAGCGTGACTGTACAGATCTTCTGAAAACCATCAGACTAATTGAGCCAGAAGTGGATGAAGACAAAGTGCTCAAGTCTCTTCTGCCTTACCTGAAGAGACAACACCAGACAAAGCCCATGATATTCCACTTTGATGTCACCTCTTCGGTGAGTGCATCCACAGCTGCCTTGTGCCGGAAGTTCTGCACGAATCCTTGCCGAAGTTGTTTCTCTAAAGCTCCTGCTTCATAAACACCTCTTTACCATTGAGGTGGTTGAAGTCTGGAACAGGTTACTCAGTCTCCAGCTTTGGAGATATTTAAAACCTGACTGGACACGGTCTCGGGCAACCAGCCCAACCTTGGGGGGCTGGACAAGGTGCTCTCCAGAGCCCCTTTCCACCCTCAACTCCTCTATTCTGTGAACTTATGATGAGTAAACGAAGAGGAAATGCATTTGTGTCTTTTCTTGTGATAGGTACGAAGTGGAATTCCAGAGTTTCTCTTCAAGCTGCTGGTTCTGCAGTATCTGACAGATAATAATGGAAATATGTGGCTACGACAGAAGTGCCATTTGTACATCATTGAAATCCTCGAGGTACCACCAGTGCCAAAGACAGCAGCGAGACACGTATGTACACAGCAATACTTCATTTCTTTGAATTCCTCAGTCACTTCGCACCTATGTCTGTATGTGGCTGCACAGGAGTTGTAGAGACTGTAAACTCCCTGTTTGTGTTGGGGTGTACTGTGCATCTCCATCACAAAGTGATATCAAAACTAGGCAGTAAATAGTCCCTGTTGGGGTTTTCATGGGTTGGTAGTTTCTGAAGGCCTGTTAGTGCAAACAGAAAACCGCAACGTCTGATCTTCCTCATGTTTCTTCGCATGTTTGAAAATACTGTAATGTTTCTATGCAGCTCTGAGAACAGAGTGTGATGGGGATCAATAACAACAGTGTCCTAGGTTTAGTTTTCTTTTTCTTTAAGTACTGAGAAGGGGCTGGAGGTAACGAAGGACCAATGTTACGGGAAGGAGACTGCAGGAGGAAGTAGCACTGATTGTTGTGGTGCCCTTTAGGTGGGGAAAGTGATGGACAGAATCACAGAATGTGAGGAGTTGGAAGGGCCCTGGAAAGCTCCCCCAGTGCAACCCCTGCCAGAGCAGGATCACCAGAGCAGTCACACAGGAACACGGCCAGGGCTTTGGGTGTCTGCAGACAAGGAGACTCCACAACCTCTCTGGGCAGCCTGGGCCATGCTCCATAACCCTCACACTCACAAAGTTTGGCCTCATCTTCAGCTTGAACCTCCTGTGCTCCAGCTTGGGACCATTGCCCCTTGTCCTGGCATTGGCCATCCCAGAGCAGAGCCTGGCTCCTTCCTCCTGACACTGCCCTTTCCCAATGGATCCCCAGGAATGAGGGCACCCCTCAGTCTCCTCTGCTCCAAGCTCAAGAGCCCCAGCTCCCTCAGCTGCTCCTCAGCAGGAGATGCTCCACTAAGGGAGATGTTCACACCAGTACCAGAGTGGCCCTGCTGGACTCTTTCAAGCAGTTCCTGTCCTTCTTGACCTGAGGGGCCAGAACTGGACACTGACAGGGGAAGAAGTGTTGGCTAAAAGGGCTGTGTAGGCCAGCTGGTGTTATTCAGTTAGCTCTGGATATTTTAGGCAGGAGTGCTGTAAGAGCAGATGAAGTAAACTGAAGAAGATTAGGGCTACAGCTTCATGAAGATTTATTTCTTTTCCTTTACTCCAGGTGCCAGCAAGCCAGAAGTACAATTTCTTCGATGTGTTCCCCAAAGTAACGTGCAGATCTCCCAAGGAGGTACTAGAGATGGAGACGCTTGGGAGCCAGCTTGGGGACGTTTCAGACCCAGGAATGGACGAGGAGGAGTTTTGCAGCGAGGCTTTCCAGAGACCTTTCCAGTATCTGAGGAGGTTTGAGCAGGGGTACGACCTGGACGCGTTCTGTTACGCGGCGCACTCAGTGGAGGGGAGCCCGGCGGAGTGGCTGCAGCAGCTCCTCCTGCACTGCGGCGTCACGGATCCCTCCTGGGCAGAACTCCGAAACTTCGCCTGGTTTCTCAACGTGCAGCTGAGGGACTGTGAAGCTTCTGTCTTCTGCAACCCTGACTTTGTCCAGGACACCTTGCAAGGTTTCAAAAACTTTGTCGTTAGCTTCATGATTTTAATGGCAAGGGATTTTGCAACGCCCTCGCTGAACATTTCCGATCAGAGCTCGGGAAGGCAGTCTTACAGCCTGGAGAATGTTGCTGAAGAGGATCTGCTGCCTTTCCGCATTCGGAAGAAGTGGGAGTCCGAGCCCCATCCGTATTTGTTTTTCAACGAGGACCGCGTGTCCATGACGTTCATCGGTTTCTACTTTCAGCCCAGCGGCCATCACGGCGTTGATGCCATTAATCCTTTGAACGGGAAAATTATCAAGAAAAACGTGATGACTTTGCAGTTGTACAAGGGCTTGTTACTCCAAAGAGTTCCCTTCGACGTCCCGTTTGACCAGTTGCCTCGTCACGAGAAGCTGGAGAAGCTTTGCATGGTTTTGGGAATCCCCTGGGTGATAGACCCTGACGAGACATACGAGCTCACGATGGACAACGTGCTGAAAATCTTGGCTATCGAGATGCGGTTCAGATGCAACATCCCGGTTGTCATCATGGGAGAAACGGGCTGTGGCAAAACCAGACTCATCAAGTTTCTGTGCGAGCTACGCCGGAGCAACGCAGAGGTGGAGAACATGAAGCTCGTGAAAGTTCACGGAGGTACGACGGCCGAGATGATTTATGCCAGGATCAGAGAGGCAGAAGCCCTTGCCAAAGCCAATAAGGAGCAGCACGGCTTGGACACAGTGCTCTTTTTCGACGAAGCCAACACAACCGAGGCCGTAAGCAGCATCAAGGAGGTTCTGTGTGACCGCACGGTGCAGGGGAAGCCTCTGGCCCCGTGCTCTGGCTTGCAGATCATAGCGGCCTGCAACCCTTACCGTAAGCACACACCGAAGATGATTCAGCGCTTGGAGTTAGCCGGGCTGGGCTACCGCGTCAAAGCAGACGAGACGAAGGAGAAGCTTGGCTCAATTCCACTGAGACAGCTTGTGTACCGGGTCCACGCGCTCCCCCCCAGCATGGTCCCCTTAGTGTGGGATTTTGGGCAGCTGAACAACCTCACTGAAAAAATGTACATACAGCAGATCGTCCAGAGAGTTACCGAGCACGTCCCAATGAAGCAGGCTGAGGCGCAGGTCATTACAGAAGTGCTTTTTGCTTCCCAGCAGTACATGAGGAAGAGGGACAACGAGTGCAGCTTCGTCAGCCTGCGGGACGTGGAGCGCTGCATGGAAGTTTTCAAGTGGTTTTACAAGCGTAGCAAACTGCTGCTGAGAGAACTGGAGAAGTACCTTGCCGAGAAGAGGGCTCCAAAGAGCACAGCCGAGAGAAACAGCGTTATCTGGGCCTTAGTGCTGGCAGTCGGGGTCTGCTACCACGCGTCCCTGGAAAAGAAGGAGACGTACAGGAGCGCTATCAGCCAGGTCCTTCCAAAACCTTACGACACCCAGAAAAAGATCTTGGAAGAAATCTCCCTGATGCAGGACTTATTCCTGAGTTGTGTGCACCTCCGAGATACCATAGCGAGAAACCTGGCCCTGAAAGAAAACGTCTTTATGATGGTCATCTGCATCGAGTTGAAAATCCCTCTTTTTCTCGTTGGGAAGCCCGGGAGCTCCAAATCCCTTGCGAAAACCATCGTGGCCGATGCCATGCAGGGCCAAGCAGCCCATTCGGATTTGTTCAAGGACCTGAAGCAGATCCACCTGGTGTCCTTCCAGTGCAGCCCCCTCTCCACTCCAGAGGGAATCATTGGCACTTTCAAGCACTGTGCTCGGTTCCAGGAAGGGAAGAATTTGGAGGAGTACGTCTCGGTGGTGGTGCTGGATGAGATTGGGCTGGCAGAAGACTCTCCCAAAATGCCCTTGAAGACTTTGCATCCGCTTTTGGAAGACGGCTGCATAGACGATGTCCCTCTCCCTCACAAAAAGGTTGGCTTCATCGGGATTTCCAACTGGGCTTTGGATCCCGCTAAAATGAATCGAGGCATCTTCGTCTCGCGTGGCGACCCCAGCAAAGAGGAGCTCATAGAAAGCGCCAAGGGGATTTGCTGCTCGGCACGAGGGGCTTTGCAGAAGATCGAACAGTATTTTCGTCACTTTGCAGACGCGTATGAAAACATCTGCAAGGCCCAAGACCGGGAGTTCTTTGGCCTGCGTGACTACTACAGCCTCATAAAGATGTTTTTTGCCTTAGCTAAGGGCTCCAGAAGCGAGCCGACACCTCGAGACGTAGCCGAGGTTGTCCTTCGTAACTTTGGTGGCAAAGATGACATCAACGCCTTGGAAATATTCACCTCGCAGCTACCAGAAAAGGGAGAAATCGATGCTCACGACGTCAGTAGGATTGAGCTGGTACGGCGGAACATTTACAGCAGCGATCAGGATGGGGACTGCAGGTACCTGCTTGTGTTGACTGAGAACTACGCAGCGCTGCAGATCCTCCAGCAAGCTTTTTTTGCTGCCCGCCAACAGCCAGAGATTATCTTCGGCTCCAGTTTCCCTAAGGACCAAGAGTACACCCAGATATGCAAGAACATCAACCGGGTGAAGGTCTGCATGGAAACCGGCCAAATGGTGGTGCTCCTCAACTTGCAGAACCTCTACGAAAGCCTCTACGACGCCCTCAATCAATACTACGTGTACCTCGCCGGGCAGAAGTACGTCGACCTGGGGCTGGGCACCCACCGGGTGAAGTGCCGGGTGCACCCCAAGTTCCGCCTGATAGTCATCGAGGAGAAGGAGGTGGTGTATAAGCACTTCCCCATCCCCCTGATCAACCGGCTGGAGAAGCACTACCTGGACATCAGCACTGTCCTGGACAAGGGGCAGAGAGAAGTGGTGAAAGAGCTGAAGAAGTGGGTGGACGAGTTCACCGTGGCCAACGCGGAAGAGCACTTCATCAGCGAGCAGAAATACAGCCCCTCGGATGTGTTCGTGGGCTACCACGCCGATACCTGTGCCTCGGTGGTCCTGCAGACAACGGAGAGGCTGAAAGCGGCCTGTGCCCCTCCCGAGCTCCTGTCCTGCGTGAAGAGGGAAGCCCAGCTGGCCCTGCTGAGCTGTGCCACCCCCGACTCCGTCATCCGCCTCTGCAGCTCCGTGGGGTTGTTCATGGCAGCTCCGCTGGCCGACGTGTACTTCAAGCAGCAGCAGCACACGTCTTTCGCAGACTTCCTCCGAGCTCACGTCCGCGCCGGCTCCGGGTACCAAACGGTCTTTACAGAGGTGAGTACCTTGCAGTGGCCGTTTAAAACCCTCCCGGCCTGCACTGAGGGGTTTGGTTTATGCTGCTGGGGTTGCGTTTTGGCTACACTGAAGTAAATTTGATAACAGCCGTGCCCAGGCGTGCAGAGGTGGGGGTTTCCACAGGAGTGCTGTTGCAGCCTGGAGAAGCCAGTACCTCTGCTATGTGTGGAGCAGTATCTGATGCTCCCTGGCAAGCAGGTTTTTAAGTGAGTTTGGGCACTTGATATGTGTCTCTGCTTTAGAAGTAGCTCTGTCTCCATGAACTCGGGCAGCTTAACAGGCTCCTGGCTGCAGAAAACATTGTCAGGAGCCTTTGGACCCTCATTTCTTTGTGCTCGCCTCTGGTCTTAAAGGTGTGAAAGATTTGAACCCAGCTGAGCCTCAAACAGCCAGAGATCTCATGGGCCTTTAGTGGGACAGCTCTGGTTTACTCATGCCTGGTACCAAGACTAAAGACCTTCAGCTGAGAACGCCTGGAGAATTTCTCCCTCTCCCTTTGCATACTGGCAGGGCAAATAAATGGGTTTTTTGGGCGCTCTGCAGCAAGCTAGCAGCATCTGGGGCCATGGACTTGTAAGTCTCAACTGCCTTCCTACCGCATTCCTGAGCAAAGGCCAAACCTACATCTCCGCTCCCAGGTCACCACCTTCTCGAGGCTTCTCACCAGTGCTGACGCCACTCTCCTGGAGAAAGAAGTGCAGGGTAAAGCGCAGAGGCCTCAAATCCTGTTCCTGCAGCAGTTTGACACGGAGTACTCGTTTGTGAAGGGCATCCGGTGAGCCTGGGTTTGCATTCTGCCGCTCTGCGTGGGTGGTCACGGGGTGGAAGAGGCGTGGGCAGAACATTTGGAGTAGCACATATGGGAAAGGGAGGCTGGAGGCTGTGCTGTGCTGTGCTGAGCAGTGGACTGCTCAGTGCAAACTGCGTTAACTCCATCGTGCTGAGATGGGGTTTGGAAGTGATGCCATCCCTATAGGATGGGTGTTTTAATCTCTCCTGCCCGCAGCAGCGAAGGCTAATGTGGAGTGACTACTTCTGCAGTCTGTAATGTCTTGGTTTTACACCTAGTGACTTCTTTGAAATCCCCTCTCCCTCTTTAGAGACTTCCTTGATGCCACGTCAGGAAATAAAGTCCTTATTATTCAGACAGACTTTGAAGATGGCTCTCAGAATGCCCAGCTCATCGCCTCAGCCAAGTAAGTCAAGTGTGAAGTGGTTTTCCTGCTTGGTGACTCCTCACCCCTGTGTGATTATTACTGCTGTTCTGGGGAGTTCAGAACCAGGAATGTGCAGTCCTGGTTTATTCTCTAGTGGAATTAATGTAGAAACACCGTATTTCAGATTATAATTCATAACCCAAGTTAAAATAAACTAAGCTGGGTCGAATTACCAGTTAATCCCCTTTGAAGCATGAATTCTTGCCACTGCAGGAGTCCTGCAGAGCTGAGGATCAGGGTTAGCATCATAGCTCAGGGTGGCAGGCAGGGAGGAAGGGGTGAGCAGATCGTGTGTGTCTGTGTGAGAAAGAAACGTGTCCTCTCATAGAGGAAAGACCTGTGGCCATGAAGTCAGCAGCCTTTCCTCCTTGCTGTAGGTACACCGTTGTTAACGAAATCAACAAGGTGGGCCTGGGAGAAGTCTCTGTCTTCGTCTACTTCATTATGAAGCTTTCCCGGGTGGATGGAGGAACGTCCTACGTGGGATGCCATGGAGGTGGGTCCGGCCGTCTGTCGCTCCTCACTCTCCAGCTGGCTTCAGGCAAAGATCCCAGAGCAACACTTCTCTTGTTCACATTTTGAATGATTAAAATCTGGAAGCGGTGTGTCCGCTGGGTTGCCAGAGCTGCTTCAGGGCTGGCCGTTGGGGCTCAGTACCCCGAGTCCTCCTCTGTGCGAGCACCTTGCCCTGCCCACTGACAGCTGAGTGCTGTTTCTGGTCAGCTGGAGAGCAGCAAACGAACTGATCATAGAATCCCAGAATCCCAGACTGTTAGGGATTGGAAGGGACCTCAAAAGCTCATCCAGTCCAATCCCCCTGCCGGAGCAGGAACACCCAGATGAGGTTACACAGGAAGGCATCCAGGCGGGTTTTGAATGTCTGCAGAGAAGGAGACTCCACAACCTCTCTGGGCAGCCTGGGCCAGGGCTCTGTCACCCTCACTGAGAAGAAGTTTCTTCTCCAATTTCAGTGGAACCTCCTGTGTTCCAGTTTGTGTCCGTTACCCCTTGTCCTATCATTGTTTGTCACCGAGAAGAGTCTGGCTCCATCCTCGTGACACTCACCCTTTAAATATTGATAACCATGAATGAGGTCTCCCCTCAGTCTCCTCTTCTGCAAACTAAAGAGCCCCAGCTCCCTCAGCCGCTCCTCATAAGGGAGATGCTCCACTCCCTTGATCATCTTTGTAGCCCTACGCTGGACTCTCTCCAGCAGTTCCCTGTCCTAACTGATGTCAACTGCATTTGCATGGTGTCCTGCAGGACACTCCTGAGCTTGTGCTTATGTGTTCTGCTTTCAGCAGCGAGGCTGCTGCTGTGTGTGGTGGGCTCTAAGAGCCGCCAAGCCCTGGTAGTGTGCAGGCTGTGTCAGTCAGGGCAGTATTAGCATGCTCCAAGTGAACTGCTGCTTCCTCTCCCTACATCGAGATATGGGATTAACCAAACTCTGAACGTGAACTGCTAGCCCACAGGGAGATATTTCTTGAGGAGCTCTTCTAGAAGAGCGTGCTGCAGGCATGAAATGATTTCTTTGGTTCTCCGCCTCTAGGGCTGTGGCAGTCGGTGCATATAGATGATCTCCGCAGATCCAAAGACATGATCTCTGACATGACTGCCCTGCAGAACCTCACCATCAGCCAGATCTTCTGCCAGGATTCGGGTAGAACCAAAGGTGAGCTGCATGCTGTTGATGTGCTGCTGGGGAAAAGGGGAGATGCAGTCCCAGACTTGGTGCTGGTAGGACTTTTGCCTGGTACAACGTGTCTGATGGCTTCCCCTGCTCAGCATCTGGGTTGGGTTTTGGTTTGGTTTGGTTTGTTATTTTACAACATGGCTACCAACCTGTCTTTCTATTTAGTTTGTTACTGCAGCATTGGGTCATCAAGTTAATTTGGTAGTTTTCCTTTTTTCTTTTGACAAAACTCTGGTATTTGCACAGCTCAACACCCAGTGCTCTGTCTCAGTACGGGAGATGCTGCGTGACAGAGACCACTGACAAGGAGTCACTCCAGAAAATCTCTCACTTGCATGAATATAGATGTGTTCACCTAAACCTGTAGGGACTTTAGAAAAGACCTTTTCTTTCCTCTCAGGTTTTTTCTTATGCTTTTTCCTTTCACCACGCTGCCTTTCAGGATTCTGGTAGAGCTTCGTGTGTTAGCTCTGAGTGCCCTATTGCTTCCAGCTCTTGCTGTGTGCAGCTTGGCAGCCCCAGCAGCTGGGGCTGTGTTTAGAGAGGTGGATGTCAGCTACTCATGCAGGTGATAATGGATCTGACAGATGTTCTGCCGCTCTGCGATGCGGTTGCTAAATAAACTCTTATCTGACCGATGCAGAAGTGCACCGGTTCTTCCTAATAAAAATTCTGCACCTCAGTTGCAGCTCTGCCTGTGAAAGGGCAAGAGCAGGAGGAAGGCAAGGGGGAGGCTGAAACACCAGTGCCCGCAGCAGAGCACTGCGAGGTGAGTTCAGAATACATTTGTTTGCTTCTCAGCTTGGTGTGGCTCTCTGCCCGTTGTCAAACTGTGGTGCAGCACACCCTTTGCATCCCCATTCACTTGAAACCCACCAGGAATACTGTTTGCGTCAGGGACATTAATGGTCAGACACAAATTTCTCCCCCTGCTCCCCGGTCAAATTCAGCATCACTACAGAAGTAAACCGCTCTAAGGACCCTCTAATTCCTCGGTCATGTCATACTCCTAGTTTTTAAAAGTCAGTTTTCAAAGCTTCTGTTGTCTTTGTGCACCCTGAAGCTGAGAACGGTGATCCTGAGCCTGCCGCTCCAGCCGCGTGTGCTTTGTGATCGAGGAGTGCGTTTGAAGCCTTCTCCCTGAACTGCTCAGTTTTTCCTCTGCAGGAGTCTTATCTTAATACAAATGCTGTCTTGCATGCCAGTTTGAAAGGGCCACAGAAGTGGCACCATGTACTTGACAGCAAAGGAAGAACTTAAATTTGCAGCCTCAGATGAGAGGAAAACGGGGAGATGGGCCGCAAGGGGCACAGGCCCTTTCTGGAGAGCACTGTAATTATTTTAAGAGTGATGTGTTGGGGGCAAAGGTGTAAAACTGAAGAGTAATGAACGTTTTCACCTGTTCTGGGAAGGGTGAGATCCTGGACACCACTGTACTCCTGAGGACCTGCGTGCAAAGTGCTGTGGGGATGCTACGGGACCAAAATGAAGATCTCAGTCGAAGCAGAAAGCGAATCGAGATTCTCCTTGGCTTTCTGTCCAAAGAGGATGACTTGAAAGGTATGTGCTCCCTGGCTGCACCAGGTGGTGTCCCTGAGGTCCTAAACCACCACAACCTGGAGGCTCATTCACTGAGGACACAAAGGTCCTTGCTGTAGTGTAGACAAGCGGATCTCCCAGGCCATCTCCCAAGAGTGTGTGTGTCTGTGCTCCAGTCTGTCACTCCTTTGGCTGCAGGGCTTTTCCTGGAGTTCAGGTTGTGGCTTTTTCTCTGTCTGTGCTAGCTCTGGTGGCTATTTTTTTTTCGTCCCAGTTGGCAGATTATTGGAACAGTTGTCACACAACTTGGTGTGACATTTGGATTTGGATCCAATGCCAGGAGAAGAGGAAACTCAAGTTCTCTGTTGTTTTTTAGCCTCCTTCCTGAAGATAACAAAGGCTCGTCTCTCCAACCTTTTGAGAAAGCAAGAAGAAAATTCCCTTCACCCAAAAAACTGGGTGCTTCGGGAGGCTTCCAACCTCAGCGCTCTCCAGGAGGCAGGCACCTTCAGGTGAGGACAGCAGCAATGTCTGGTAACCTGCAGGCTTCCAAGAAGCCTCTGCAAGTGGCCACTGTGCAGCAGAGACAGCAGTTGTGTGCAATCTGAATATTCAGTGTCCGTCCCCAGGCTGTGCTGGGGGTGGCTTTGTCCTCTCCTGGCTGCTGAGGGAGGGTGACTTAGAGCTGAATGGGCTGTGCTGGGACAGCAATGCATGCACAAGTGCTGGGAGTGGAGCAGTGGGATTACAGATGAGCCACGAGCGATAGGAGTGTAGGGGGTTTGTTGGAAGTGGTTTTTTTTTCCCCTTAAAGGCAGGATTAGGGCTTTCTCACATGCAGATGTCAGCAGTTTTTCAGGACAGCCATCTCCTGGTTTGCTGATATTGTTGCTCACCTTCCCTCTGGGTTTCTCGGTCTCTTTCTGCTCCAAAGGCACACCCTGTGGAAGCGAGTCCAGAAGGTGATCACTCCATTCCTGGCTCTCCTGATTGCTGTCATAGACAGGAATGGCAATCTGGAGCTGTTGGTCAGGCCGGCAGCAGAGTGGGTGACGGAGCTGTGGATGTTCATCTTCAGCGACACGAAACTCCTGAGTGTCCCTTACGGTGTGGGTACCAACAGGTGAGCCACTGCAGAGAGCAGCAGCAGGGCTTGGCTGGCGGCACTGGGACCAGTCCAGCACTGGCTTCACATCCACACGGGAGATGAGCCCTGTTGGTTGCTCCCTAAGGCAGCAGCAGGGCGGTTCTCGGTGACTTCAGAAGTCTGTTCTTTCTGCCTTGTCCCCAGGACTCCTGGGCTTTGCTTTCTGGCTCTTGGCACGCTCACACTTCTTACCCAGCCCTTGAACCCTGCCACTGCAGCCCTTTTGCCAGGGAACACTTACTGAGTAAGTCCTAATGCCACAGAGTTGGCAGGATGAGCTGTATTAGTGAGTCCTCCAGTTCTTTCGCCTTCCCTCACCCCCTTCTCGGGTTCATTTCTTTGCTTTCTGCAGCTTCCTGCCTCTATCTGAATGTGTTTCCCAGGCAAAAGCCCAGTGCATTAATGACCTCTTAATCTCGTAGCTCGCAGCCAGAGATAATTCTGGTGCAGAACAACATGACTGTGTCTGCTGATACTGGGAATGAGATGCCCTTCAGCTGGAGGATAAAGGAGTACCTGGATGAGATGTGGCTGGAAGCTCAATACATGCAAAACACTGAAGGTGAGAGCCTGACTTCAGCTCGTGACACCAAGCATCTCCATCCACCTGCCCTGTAAGCTCTGGTTTGTCACTCCCATGTTTCTACCTTTCTGTGACCCTGGGGTCACCCTCAGTCCCTCTGTGCTCATGTGAGCCAGCAGAACTTTGCACAATTACTTTTTCTCTGGTACTACCTATCTGTCTTTCTCACGTATTCTGTGCCCTTGTATTCAAAATGCTGTGGAAATGCCAAGGGTTAATGACAAAGTGAGAGTCCATAAATACAGCGCTGGTGCCTGGCCTCAAAGCCCTTGTTAGTGCTCGACTGAGGAGTCCTCTGTGCATCAGTGAAGAGGTGTCAGTGTCCTGAGGACACAGGCTGTGTCAGTGCCAGCCTCCTCCTCATACTCAGCTTTTCTCTGCATTCTCATTTTCCAGACCAAGCCGAGAAGTTTGTGGATATCTTCCAGGAAACTGCACTGGGAAAATTCATCTCTGCTCTGAGCAAGGAAGACAGAGAGAAGCTCTTACAGTGCTATGCCTTTTCCAGTGCTATGCCACAGACTTTATTGTCTTGGCCATTGGTGTGTCCTCTGTGGAGGAGCTGCAGGTCAGTGTCTGGAGCAAGAGCTGGAAACCCTTTGGATGATGCCTGAGAACATGGCCTTTTGTACCAGTCTTGCCTTTTCAGGCAAAATCCCCCTCTGAGACGGATTCATAGCAAGGTAGCCACAAAGCAGATGCATTTACTACTGAATGGCTGCTGAAATTGCTGAGACCTTGCTCCAAAAAGTGCTTACGCAGGAGCATCTGTAAAAAATGACACATTTAAGGCTGTATTTGTAAAGTACTGATTCACTTCTTTCAGAGTTTTGCCAGGATTTCCAGCACAAAACGATTTATGAATGCTCTGTTCTGTTTAAATTTTGATTTTAACCATTTTCTTCTGAACTTCCAGTGTCTGCGCGTTGCGTTCCTATCCTGCATAGAGGAATGGAAGGCGGCGTCTCCCAGAAGGGAGGAGATGGTGCCATCCTTGCCTTGGGTCCACCTCGGCTACAATCGGTTCAAGAGCCGCCTGCAGAACTTTTCCAGGATCCTGGCTGTACACCCCCGTGTGGTCGCCTACCTTGTGAACCAGGGAGGACCTGGAATGCCGCGTTCGGAGATGGTAGAGTCCCTGCCAGGCACTTTGTGATCCTCAGCCCCAGCAGAGAGCTCTGCGTTAGCTGATGTTCAGTCCCCTTTGGATTTCAGCAGCAGTGAAGTGGGAAGCGCAGGCTCAGTCTGGATCCTTAGCACTAGGAATAATCTGCTGTGTTAGAATTTAAAATAGATTTTAAATAGTTTGCCTTGTGTTCTTTTCAGTGAATAGGATGTGCTAATGATCTAAGCCACGAGCGTGAGAATTTCAGTGTTTAAGATAAACAAGTAGAACATTACTCAGCAGAACATGTGCTATAGCACACCAGATTGAGAGCCCGAGGCTCATAAATCATTCTGAAGCGCGACTGTTGTTCCCCTCACCCCCCCGTGTGTGTTTGCAGCTTTCAGATGTGCTTGCTGCAATGGTGTGTGCTGAAGAGCTGGAGACGCACGTGCAGACAGCCCGTCCCGAGATCTGGCTGCAGAAGGTGAAGAGCCTTCGCATGCCTGTTGAATTCCTCTGCAGAGAGAAGGATTTACAGAGGAGTGGGAGTCGGTGCCATCAGCTGCTACAAGACCTCGAGTGTGTACCGCAGATCTGCTCAGTCTTGCTGTTCATGAGTATTAGGACAAGCTGCTCTGCTGCTGCTTTTCTCAAAGACTGTGCAAACCTTTCCAGGTTCCTACCAGGCTCAGTTGCATACGGAGCATCAAGAAGTAGATCTTCTCTTTCCCCTCATCTCGTGTAGACTCTCCCTCTAAACCTGGCAGTGACATCCAATGCGTTCCAGCTGGGTTCAGGGATTATTTAAAACTCTCATTGGGTTCCCGTTAACCCGCAATGTCTCCCCAGTTCATCCCATGTGTATAAAGACCGAGAGATGAAAACCTCAGTGCATCTAGGACTGAGTCTTGTCTTTTGGACAACAAGCCTAGATGGCTACTCCAGTTCCTCACAGACTTTGTGCGAAGGAAGCATAGTTAATCGTGACTTATTTTTAATTGCTTCCTATGATATAGAAGTTAGAGGTGTGAGAAGGTCTTTGCAGTGCTCTTGATTCTGCTGCAGTGCTGTGTGCAGGACAGGCTCCTATGCCATAAGCCCTCTGTGGTAGGGGCTGTTGCGTGTTTTGTCCTTGACCAAAAGCAGGGCTGAGAACCAAAAGGGCAAGGCAAGAAGTTGCATGAGAGGCACACAAACGCTGTAGTGGTGAGCATGCAAAGCAGCGAGATCATCAGAGTGGCCTTGTGTGAGCCGACACAGGAACCACCACAAAACCATGGGTTAAATGCGAAGAATAAGTTTATTCTCATTACCTGGCAAACCAGGGGATCTCTGAAGCAGCACCCGGGTGGAGGCAACACAGGCAGGGACACAGACACTGCAGAGCTCGGTCCTTGCCAGAGAGAGGGAGAGGTTTCCAACCGGCTGCTTTCGTCTGCGTCTCAAGGGTTTTTAATGGGTGTAGTTTTCTACTGTTGTGCCTTGATCCTTCCCACAGCAGGGCAGGAATCTCAGGCGTGTTTGATAGGGTGCCTCCAAGTCCATCACAAGCCCGTGTTATCTGAACACAGATATTAACGTTGTCAAGCACAGAAGACTAAACAACTGGTACAATATGTGTGGTTTTTGACTCCCCAGCTGCAAGCCCCTTGGGTGTGTGCACAGTCCTCCTCACCAGTCTTCCGTTATCTTCCCACAGACCCGACACTGCGCTTTTTTTGCTCAAAATTGTGCCCTCTGAAATCACGCTTTCCTTTCCACAGAGTCTGCTGGAACCGGGTTTTTGCCATGTCTCTGTTTGTAGAGCACGTGTTGCTGGGCATCGACTCACTGATGCCAGAATTTGAGAACGTAGTGAAAAAATACACCTTGCTTCTTGCCAAGGTAAGCAAACGTGATTTCCCCTCTTCGCCTCTGCTGATGATGTGAATTTTTGTCTCGGGCATTAGAGCTGAGTCATTGAGCTTTGCCCTTCTCCTCTGCAGTGCTTTCAGCACGATTCGGACATGAAGACTTACCCAACTTTTGTGGCAGTGATGAAAGTGCTGTGCCAATGTAAAGATGAAGTCAGCAAGAGGCTCTGCAGGTAGTGACACTGAGACAAACTGCAGGCTCCAGCAGGAACGCTGCCTGTGTTGCCAGCATGTTTCTGGCTGTAAGGTAGTCCTGCATAGAACATCATGAAAGCCAAATTAAGAGTGATAACTTCTATTTTATTCTGCACCCTGAAGCCAAGCAGTTATCTAACAGGTCTTAAGTTATGTCTTCTCGGTCTAGTTGTAGATGAACATCTTGTTGTCCTACCAAACGCCTTTGATACTGAAGCAGTTGTGTTCATTACTGAATTACAGGTGTGATCTGAAGTGTCTGATCTGCCTGGGAGAGCCCAAGGACCCGGTCTGCCTGCCCTGCGACCACGTCTTCTGCCAGAAGTGCATCGAAACGTGGCTGGTACCAGCACAGATGCACTGTCCATACTGCAGAGTTGCCATGGAGAATGTGGATTTAAAGGTCTCTGCGGAGCTCAGGTACCTCACCCTGCCCAAGGCGAAGCGTTGCAGTGGGGCCGCTTGTGCGGGGAAATTCTGATTTGCACCTCTGAAGTTGTCAACGTGAGCAGAACGGGTGGGGAGGATCTGCTCAGCTCTTTCTGGAGCTGGAACAGGTCCTGTCCATTAATTGTTTCAGAAGAAGGAGGGAAGGAAACTGTAGTTAAAAACCCTGGAGAGAGAAAGCAGTGTCAGTGGCTGACTTGGCCAAGAGAGCTGCTTGTCATCTTGGATTGCCTTGTGACAGCTTAGCAAAAAGCTCTCAGTAGATGGAGTCATGTTGCTGTTTGTGATCTCGGTTGTCAATGTGATACAGCCTTTGCAGACAATACTGCTGGAGTGTCACACAAACCTGGCCTTCTGGAAAGCCAGAAAAGTATCTCACCGTGGTGGCTTTTGTGTCTGTCTGCTGTGCTTCATCCATTATTTCAGTGGTTCTGTATCTGAACATTGTCCTAATGCTTCTTACTGTTCCCCTAGAGATGCCATAGCAAGAAATGCCCTGTTCCGGCAGAGGTGCAATAACTTCTTCATAGATGTGGTCACGACCATGTGCTTCAAGGACAATGAACCCCCGGAGGCAGAGGTGATCCAGGAGCTCCTTAACCTGCTGTTTGTTCACAGAAGCCTCCTGAAAGGTTCAGGTGAGCTCCCTCCATCCCAGCACTCAGCCTCATGGAGCTGATTCTCTTGCCCCTTTCTCTCACCTACTTGATTTGTTTCTGATCTCCACAGATCACCCTGCCATCTACACAAAACTCCTGTCCCCATTTAACGATGAAGTGGATGAAAACCCCGTTATCCGCTCGGTAATGCTGAAGCTGCTCTTGAAGTACAGGTGAGCACAGTCCCACGGCCGATGGATGTTCCAGTAGCGGGTGGTTCAGCTTTGCTCTTCATGACCTCATCAAGCCCATCGGGTTGTTCTCAATTCCATGCTATTCGTTGAATTTGAATAATTACAGGTGAAATCCATCCTGTGCCTTTGTATTACTTAAGCAACTTGGCTGGCTTGCACGTAGCTTGTGTTGAAGCACCTGACCAGTCTGTGCCAAGGCTTACCTGGCTGTTCTTAACCTAAACCTGTGCTGAACAGGGGTGGTTTGGGTAACCTAACAATGGCCAACTAATTGATACGCTCCAGATCAGCAAAGCAGTGCTCCTCATCCACAGACATGTAATCCAGAACGATCTTTGGTTCAATGACACAGACCTCTCTGTTCACACCAGCTCCTCCAGCCCCCCTTTGCAGTCAGTGCCCAGAAACCCCATTTCTGAGGTGTGATCATCCCCTAAAACAGATCAGACGACTTACACCCTAGAAATGCTCATTTGGCATTGATAACAAAACCCTAGCTCAGCGTGAAGCTGACATCTGGCAAAAGATGGATCCAGAGTGACCCCCGCCTGTCTCATGGACATAACGAGCAGTTCGCTGGTGACTTGGACCATTCGTAGCTGTTAGTGTCTCAGTTGTGGTAAGGGGGTGTTTCTCTCTCCTGTAGCTTCAATGAAGTGAAAAATGATGTGCAGCAGTACCTGTCCCGGGTAGAGCACAACAAGATCCTAGAGAAAAATGACAAAAAAGAGCTCTACTTGCTTTTTGTCAACTGCTTGGAGGTAAGAGCGCTGGGGAGGTAAGAGCTGGGCAATGAAACTGCTGCAGGAATAAAGAAGTCAAGAGTAGAAATTCTGCAGTTACAAGCAGATCTCTTGTGCACATAACTAGTTGTCCAACTAGAAAGCCCAAAAAGGAGATTATATCAAATGAGCTGGTCAGAACCTGCTCTGCAGGAACCAGCCTTGCTTTTCGAGGTCTGGCTTGTGTATTTGCAGCATTACATACATTCTTCCTCCTGGACACTGCACAGGTGTCTAAGCATTAAGTGAGGCCTCATAAGACTCAAACCCCAAGACAGGAGAGCAGCCACAGGGGATTTCTAGTTGCAGTCATCCACTCCTGGGCTAGTTTCTTGTTTTCACAGATTCTTTTTTTGTTTGCAGAGCTTTATGTTATTGTGCTGTTTGGATTGTTTCCTTTTCTCCCCTTGCATAACTCTTTATGCTTTAAACAAACTTGACAGCAGGGATAGCGGTTTTATCTCTTAGAGTTTTCCTTAAAATGGTGACTTTGGAGATAAGATCAAAAATTGCATTCTTGCTAAGGGAAAACCAGGTAGAGCTTGGCACCTTGGACCAGGCAATGTGTGTTTTGGCTTGTGTGTGGCCAGGCAGCATGCTCGTAACAATCTTGCCCAGCTGTATGCATAGGAAATACAGGGGAGAGCTTGGGTGCATTGGTGAGGGTGTGTGGTGATGTGGCAGAGGTCTGGGACAAGCCCCAGAGAGCTCACGGGGAGGAGGTGAGGCCCTGGGTGCAGGGTGCTGTGGGAGATGCCAGAGTTCAGCGTGCTCGCTGCAGCGTGGGTGCACGGGGAGGTACCCACATGTGAGTTCACTGCTGCTGCCACTCACGCGACGTTCTGGCCCATCTGCAGGATTCCATGTGTGAGAAGGCTGAGGGCAGCCTTGGAGGTAAGCACGTAACCCATCTGCCTGGAGACAGAGGCTTTCCAGAGAACTATCTCCCAGCCAGCAGTCGAGAAGCTCCTCAGGAGGCGTCCGTTGAGTATCTGCAGGCGGTAGCCAAGGTTCGCTTGTACCTGAGTAAGGCTGCGGAGCTGCTCTTTGACTTGCATGGGCCCGCAGGTACGGCTCGTTATGCTGCTGTCAAGTGGAAATGCTGTGTACAGGGCAGAGTCACCACGGGAGATGGGCTGGACACGGCCAGTGCATCTGTGCTGTGCTAGGACTTGTTTGGATGCGTGGCCATGAACGAGCCCATCAGCTTTTTCCTTTCATTAGGAGTGTCAGTCATTACTCGTCTTCTTTCCCGTGTATTAGAAGTGCTCTATAATGAGTAGCAAGGCTGTGCCAATGACCCCTAGGGTGTAGTTACACAGCAGTTTTGCCTTTGGAGGGAGATTTATTTTATCCTCCAGTGGCTAACAGGGAAATTTTATTTAGGACCAATTAAATTGAACTTTAATGAATAAAAGAGTAAAGCGTAAACGATGCTTCAGATACATGACCACTGTAAGGCTTATTTTTCATATGAATTGAGAGCTCTGCAAAGCTAAAAAGGATAAAAAGATACTTCAAAACAATAAGTAAAAGGTTTTGTGCAGCTTTCTCCAATAAAGGAGAACAGTGTGTGGAGAGTCTCAGGTACTTACACAGTTCATGAAGCATCAAAAAGGTAATTCCAAGGGACTTCAGTGTCCAGCCCCTGAGTTGGGGATGTCAGGCAGCGAAATGCATCCCAGGAGATGGTTCTCAGGCAGCACCACCAGTTTTGACGATGCAAAGCCATTACTGGGCAAGGTGGAAGAGCTCCAAGGGTGAACTACCCAGTAAATGGGAAAAATTGTCCTTGAGAGAAGGAAATGGAGGTAGTGTGTTATCCTCTGTTCAAGAGGTGAGTCATTGTCTAAAATCCGGCTGAAGAAACACACTCTAGATAAGCATCTGAGGAAGAGAGGACTCTCAGTGTCTCCTGTGTAACTGGTCAGTGCTGGTGAAAGGACCTTGGTGCTGACAGAAAAGCTGGTCAGTGCTGGTGAAAGGACCTTGGTGCTACAGCCAGTGCCGACAGAAAAGTTTTATACAGGGTAGGATGTGGTTTTGCCTTTTTTTAATCTTCTTTTCCCCTCCAGAGCAAAAGCAGGTGGAGGAGAAGCAGCGTTACCTGGCAAACGTGAGGGTGTTCTGTAGCCTCACCAAGAACGACTGGCACCGTGTTTACCTGGTCCGGAAAATTGCCTGTCACTACGGGATGGAGTTTGCTCAGAAGCTTGTCACAGAGCCACAGTTCCACTGGGTGTTCCCCCAGGAAATTCTGAAGCAGGTAAAGAGGAGGAGTGTCCTTGGAGATGGCTCTGCTCTCCTCTTAGGCTTCACTTTGTGCTGCTCTGGGGTGTTTCTGCTGTTGTGCTCTCTATTGAATGGAGCTGTTATGGCACTGAGAGGCCATTTGGGTTGCTGTGCTTGTTTGCAAAGGCTCCTTCCCCTTTGCTCTGCCCTGCTCACACCACAGCTGCAATCTTGTGTCCAGTGCTGGCCCCTCAGGTCAAGAAGGACAGGAACTGCTTGAAAGAGTCCAGCAGGGCCACAAAGATGATGGAGGGAGTGGAGCATCTCCTGCTGAGGAGTGGCTGAGGGAGCTGGGGCTCTTGAGCTTGGAGCAGAGGAGACTGAGGGGTGCCCTCAGATCCATTGGGAAAGGGCAGTGTCAGGAGGAAGGAGCCAGGCTCTGCTCTGGGATGGCCAATGCCAGGACAAGGGGCAATGGTCCCAAGCCGGAGCACAGGAGGTTCAAGCTGAAGATGAGGACAAACTTTGTGAGTGTGAGGGTTATGGAGCATGGCCCAGGCTGCCCAGAGAGGTTGTGGAGTCTCCTTGTGTGGAGACACCCAAAGCCCTGGCCGTGTTCCTGTGTGACTGCTCTGGTGATCCTGCTCTGGCAGGGGTTGCACTGGGGGAGCTTTGAGGTCCCTTCCAACTCCTCATTCTGTGATTCTGTGAAATGCCGTGGTTCCTGGGAGGAAGAGGAGATTCTGCCTTGCCCAGCGACTGGATGATGTGCTCACCATGGGCTCTTCCCTCTGCAGGTACAGAACAGCCAGTCTCATCACATCGACCGCTACCTGGCGTGCGGCGAGAATTACAGAGTCCTGCGCGATGCCGTGGGCAAGGCCATGATCGAGTGCAAGGCTCAGGGTCTTCTCGAGGCAGAGAAGGTAGGGCATGCTCTCCTCACTGTAACCCTGCTGTGGGCTTTGCATGGCCGGTGGTTTAGCCTTGTGTTCCTCTTGGCAGGGTCTCTGCCAGTGGAGATGCTTGCGCTGCCTTTGCTTGAAAGGTGCTGTGGCTTATGCAGGCAGACACGTGTGTGTGCTTTACTCCCACCTGTGTCCTAGCATACATAGCTGAGGTTATTCCTCTTGGTTGCCTCATCTCACGTTTCTCCCACTGTAATCTATCATAGCAGTTTGTTTTACAGCAGCAATGCAGCCAACTGACAGATAATCAAAGAAGCCTCATGTCCCCTCCCTGCCTGCCCGTGTCTGCCTGGTTTTGTGTCTTGCTGTGCAAAAGTCAAACAGGTGATCTCTGTAACTGTCACCTTTTCCCAAGGTGTATTTTGTGTATGAAAATCTTCAGGGAGATGTTTGCAAACAACGCACCTTGCAGTATCTGTACCATCCATTGCACACTGGTTGTGGTTTGGTTTTCACTCGCGTGTTGGTTTGATTTGAGGGAGGACACGTACGTGTTGCTGCCTAGTGAGATTGCAATTCCAACTGGATGTTAGAAGAATAAAACACTTAAGAGGTTTCTGATGAAAAAGCCTCAGCCAGCTCAAGTGCTGCCAGATGACTCCTTTATGGCTTCACCAGCCATTTCTGCACGATCCCCCTTGGTTTGTGGGGAGAGCTTCACCACAGCTCCCCTGAAACCTGCACACCCCGTGCCTTTAGCTGGGACAGCCACAGCCTCTTCTCTGCCATATCATCACTTCTTTTCTAGGCATCTTGTGGCTCCCTGGCTGTGCAACGTGCCCATCTGCTCCTGGCTCTTTTCAGAGAGGTCACTGCCCTGTATGGAGTCAGTGACTCAAGTCTTCGTCCCAAAGAGCAGGTAAGACACTTCACTTTGGGAGCTTGGGATGAATATGCTTCAGCGATAAGGATGTATGAGGTTTACATCATCAGTGGAAGAGCCTTTTGTTCTCCTGCCCCCAATACAGTTCTGTCCTGATGAGAGCAGGCTGAAAATGTTTTCAAAGCAGAGACAACACAGCGTGGGAAGCAGCTGTGAAAGTCCCCTTTGGTTTGGCGGGCAATATCGTGCCGGTTTTATTTCTTTTCAATATCTACTTTCAGCAAACAGATGCTATGGTTGAGTTCATCCGGAGCTCCCAAGTCCTGAATTCTCCGGACCTGCAGCACTTTGCAACTTCCCTCGTGCTGAACACGCTGCCGTGCCTGACGGTGAATCCTGAAAGCTTCAGCCAGCGTGGAGCCCTGACCGAAGTGGCCGTGCACGCCGCAGCGATCCTGCTGTGCGGGCAGAGCCCCGTCCTGCAGCCCCTGAGGAATCTGGCACTCCATCCACACACCATGCAGGTACGGAGCTTTACCTCAGGTAAAACATACTGCTAGGTTTTTTCATGTATCTGCTGGATCCTCTAACCTTTAACATCAAAAATTTATCGGTTTAGCTTTGAATTATGATTATTTCAGTGCTGTTGGGATTAATTAGCACAAGCAGCTCTGGACTGGTGCCTTTTCAAGGTACTTCTGCATCCTGAGCAGTGTAAGGCAAATACTTTTGCTGATATTTGATGAGTCTGAAAGCAGCCTGCAGGTGATAGCGTGGAGACCTGCGTGCTCTGGAGGATAACAGCTCGTGGTTCTTAAGGCATTTTCAAAGGTAGAATTTGGAAATGTGCACATGTGTCACCTTCACGACCTGCACTGTCAGATCTCTCTTGTTTCCCATGATGAATAAGGAGCCAGTGAGCAACTGCTACAGGAAAGAACTGATTGATGGACCCACTTAGCCCCTTTTTTCTTTTTCCTCCTTAGCACTCTTTTCTGCCCACGATGCCAGAAGATATAATGGCCCAGGCGAGGGCCTGGGAAGGAGTGGCTGCTCTGCGCTGGTACAGTAAGTGCCAGGAGAAAAACACTGAGTAATTCCTTGGGTTCCTATGTGGGCACCTCACCCCTTTGAGCTTTGGGACAGCCAGTGCTTTTGGTTAGACCTTGAAGCACGTTTCTTGCTCCAAGATGACAGTCCCTATGAAAGGAGATAACGGGGCCTTTATAAATTACTGTCTCATAACACTGTCCTGTTTGTGTCTCTTTCTTACCAGAATGTCCAAATGGCCACCCCTGCACTGTGGGAGAGGTAAGAATGTGAGACTGGTGGGTTTTTAAGCAGGTGGTGTTTTCAACAGTCAACTCTTATCTTATTTACTAGTTTGTGTTCTACTGCACAGTGGTTCATTTCCCAAACTCCACGTTATTAATGATTTTACTGTAGTAATGCAAAATTTAAATAGCCCTAACACAGCTTACACAATAAATCTAGGAAACAAGAGGCAGAGGTCCTTTGGCCGGTGTATTGCAGTTTTCCAACGAACCAGTGGCAGCTTGGATTTCATTTCTCTGCTGGAGAGGCTCTTACTCTGGAACTCAGCGTTCTCGTCTTCCTCTTTGCTAGTGTGGCCTCCCCATGGAAATCGGCCGCTGTCCCGACTGTGGTGCCGAAGTTGGAGGGGAACAGCATAAACCACTGCGTGGCTTTCAAGAGCTCCAGTACGTTTTGGTTCATTCATTTCATTCATTTTCAGTGTTAAATGATGTAGCACTTCTAGCGCTCGTGTAAGAATATTCAAGTTACTCATTCTAGCAGCAGTGGCTTCTTGTCTACCCAGCATGGCGTTGGCTCATCTTGCCCTACAGGGCTGGACATTGCACCTTTCATAGGAAATGTATTAGGAAGAGATGTCTGAGGAAGAGCTTTTAGCCAGCATAAACAAACAAGTTGTTTATTTGTGTGCAAAACTTCTTGGAAGTCCTCATCCCCGTGTACTGCTTTCAATTGGCAGCTTTTATGGCACTCAGAGAACTTACGGGTCAGAACAACATTACTGGGTATCAAGGACAGCTCTTGTGTGGTTTCTGTCAAGGCAAAACAAATGCTATGTACGGACTTTCCAACAGGAGTAGGGAGGACAGAACTCAAACCGGCCACGTACTTGGAAATGCAGAAGACAGGAAAACAAAGGGAGTGTCTGATCGGGCCCTGTCTCCAGTTGTCTTCACGCTGCTGCGCCTGCTCACACATCTGGCGATGCTGCTGGGAGCCACAGAAAACCCTGAGGTATCTCCCAGTCATAGTTCCAAGCGGCCACATGAAATGTAGTGGAACCTTGACATCATGCTGCTCCTTTTCATCCTATTGCCAAGTAACCAGGGCAGTCTTTCCAGATCCCAGACCCAAATTCACTCCCCTCCTTGCCCAGGAGGGTTTTGGCTCCTTCATGCATGTGCATGCATGCATACACACACATCTCACCTGCCTTTTGTTGTTCAGGTAGGAATCCTGTAGGGTGGAATTGAGGTTTTCTGGTAAGACCCATAGCTCTTCATGCCTTCTGCTTGAACTTATTGGCTGTTGTTGGCTTATATTCTTCCCCTTGGTTCTCTTTAGGCACTGCAAAACATTATCAAGCCACCGGTGGACAACGCAGTGAGTTTCCTGGAGCAGCACATTCGGGAGGACTTGGCACAGCTGACAAAAATTTTGGGGAAGAGTGTGGATGAGACTATCAACATCCTTCATCTTGTCCTTGGCAGCCTCCTCAAGGAGCACCCAAGCCAGTGTAAGGAGAAAATCCGGAAATCTGAGGCTTGTTTCTTCCTGTAGGGAGTGAAGAAGTTTTGGCTGTTTGCGTCTCTTTTGGTCAAGTATGTGAGGTTTGCAGGGTTGGTGCATAGTTGTGAAAAGGAATGACTGGATAAATAGCCTCATGACACGTTAACAGAGCTTTCAGCTCACAAGCAGAGGTACTAATCAAAGTGTGGTACCTCATGCTGTGTGTAATCTACACACTGCCCTCTAAATGACTGCCAAGGAGCTGGTTGGTAGAAGAGGGATGGCAGAGCACGGTTGAGGGTAGAGTCTGGAGTTCGAGTTGAAGTGAGTCACTGTTGTAGAGGGATTTATATGTAAAGGCCATATATTTAATGTGACAGCACAGACCAGTATTCCAAGCTCTGTTCTTTGGCCCATCATTGATCGTGGTCTGACCTTGGACTCCTTGTTCAACCTTTCTGGGATTATAAATGACTGGTATAAATATCCACATCGTTCAGATGAAGCTTCTGAAAACCTGCAGTCGCTGTGTGCTGTGCTGCATGACACTCTCCAGCTAGACTGAGATCCTCATTTAGCTTCTAGGAGCACTGTAATCACTCATCTTGCTAACTTGCAAGAGAATCTGAGCTTTCTTTTAACCGAAATATTGCAAATGTAAGACACTAAATATTCCTGTTGCAGGGCCAGTTCAGTTTGATGGTGTGCTCTCCACCAAGGAGAAGAGAAACAGATGGGAAAAAATTGTTGCAAGAACAATTATTGTACCTGAATTGAAGGTGAGAAATTTGCTGTATAAAATTTCGGTAGCTGAGCAATTAAAACCCCACTTATTTAGAAACCTGACCTGCTGTGCTGTCTGTGCTACGCTTGTCACCCAGCTCTTCCTAAAGTCTGTGACACAACTGCAGGTTAGCTCTAATTTGTAAGCATCGACCAGCTTGCTTCTACACTGGAAACGAGTGTCTGAGACGAGAGCTGTGCTATGATGATTTTGTACAGCTGGAAAAGCAGAAATGGTTTAACTCAGTGGAAAGTATTGGCCCAAGTGAGCACGTGCTTGCTCCAGATGAACTGGCTGCCTTTATTCCCCCCCATATACTGATCTCAAGAATGGCAGACCTGTGGGATGAGCTGCAGGACAAAGAATAAGTTGGTGGTGTCAAGAGCTGTCTTGCAGTGTGTTTTACATGCCTTCCCTAGGAGCATGTGTCTATTAGTCATCAAGCTATTAGCGAAATATCCTCTAGCAGAGGTTCAACATGGCAGGAACCTGCCAGTTCTGATATAATTTCCTTTTTTTTAAATGCAGGATTTGGATATAAAACTGCTGAAGCTAAATAGACAAATCCAAGAGGATGAGAGAATTTCTTCCAACCCAATAGTGAAAATAGTGTATGGCGACCCGGCCACTTTCCTGTCCCAGCTGCCGAAGGACAGTCACATCCATCACTCCAAGATGTGGAGCTGCCGAAAGAGGGTTTCAGTGGAGAACCTGGGCCACGTAGTCCAGCAAAAGAACGGCAAGGACACCGTCCCTGTGCTGTGGAAGTTTCTGCAGAAGGTGGGTGTGACACCGGGATGAGAGATGGCACGGTCATCGAGGTGGGAAAAGTCGCCCAGAGCCAGACCCAAGCCAAGTTATTCTCATAACTTTCTATAATCTTGAGAACTGCACGTGTAACACATCTTCTCTTTTAATAATTTTAAAAATAATCCCATAAAAGTCTTCAAAATTGGTTTGGCCAAGAACAACCTTACTCATAGGCCCCCTTTCCTCTTCCAGGAAGCAGAGCTGCGGCTGGTTAAGTTCTTACCAGAGATTCTGGCTCTGCAGAAAGACTTGGTGAGGCGGTTTCAGAACACGGCTGATGTCAAGCACTGCTCGATCAGAGACTTCCTCAACGAACCCCTCTCAGGTGAGAAGGCTGTGCCAAAACTGGAGTTAGTGCGACAAAAAGCGCTGGGTAGTCCTGTTGCAAATGAAGGTGAAAACTTCTAAGCTTGCAGTCTTACGCCCTCATATTTTGCTTTTATCATCCATCCAAATGAATGGGGGATGCTAACCCTGGAGTTAAGCTTGGGAAAGTCATCAGGTGACTTTAAAGAGAATTAAGCACGGGCAGATTGTTCACAAGGGCTGGGGCCTCTGCTCTGAGATAGGGAGGAGAAATCCCTGAATGCAGCAGTGGGTACACTGAGTTTTTAAGCTTTGCCCTAGAGTAGGGCCTGTCTAAGAGGTGGAAGAGGGGTCCTAACCTTCCATTCATGAGCAGCATACAGACATTTGGTGGCAACTCCTTCACTTGCACTTAAGTACAATTACTTGTTTTTAAGTACTTCAGTCGTGCTGAATCAGACCAAGGATCCATCCAACCTTGTGGCCTGGGCCAAACGCAGTGATGGAAGAGTATGAACAGAGCAAATTACTCAAAGTGATATAATTAGAAAACTGTTCAGTGTCTGTGTAGTCTCTTGTGGTCTGTTTGAGCAGTTGCCTAGAGTTCAGTGGTGTGCTTTGAAAATTCTTATATAGTAACTTATATATTCTTATAAATTCTTATATATTAACTTATTAACAAGTCTCACGGTGTTGCCAGTAAGAGGTGTTTCAAGGACTTGTTTTTCTGTTGCTCCTCAGATGTGATGAGGGACCTGATGCAGAGGAGAGTGAATGTGTTTCTGTCTGTCTGGAACAACCTGAGGAGCTCTCTGGACACCAATGGTGAGTGCCTTTCTTTGCCAGCACTGTTGAGAGCGATGGAAGCAAGAGCTTGTCCGCTGTCAGACTTCCTCCCATCAGTGATGCGGAGACAAAGAAGAAATCTTCTCTGCCTTTTCATTTCAGGGGAAATTAAGCTTCCAAAAGGCTACTGTGATGCTGACCTGACCCTGGACAGCGAGCTCGAGGTGCTTCTGCCACGTCGACAGGGACTGGGCCTCTGCTCCACAGCCCTTGCCAGTTACCTCATCAGTCTGCACAACGACTTTATCCACGCGGTGAACAAACACATCAAGGAAGATGACAGGTACGTTGCTATTCCAGCTAGGCATTCTGGGGGCTCTCTTTTATCTGCCACCGCTCTCCCTGCTTCATAAAGGCTTCTTGCTCTAAATGGAGACCGTTTTCTCTTCCGCAGGTACCTGATCAGTCCGTCAGAAGTGGCTGACCTGCACTTGATCAGTTATGAGGTAGAGAGAGACCTGATCCCTCTGATCCTGTCCAACTGCCAGTACAGCATGGAGAAGGGAGGGGAGACCTTGCAGGACTTTGATCTGGAGAGGATCCAGCAGCAAATCATCAGCAAGTTCCTGCAGGGGAAGCCACTCATCACCCTCACGGTAGGAGAAGGCAGCCAGCAATGCTTTCTGCAGACAACCTCTTGGTTGATGTTGGAGCCCTGCAGTGTTTGCTGCAGCCAGGCATGCACTGTAGCAGGGTTAGCAATGTCACCAAAGCCTCACAACCAGGGGTTTCTTTCCTGACAGGGAATACCTACCCTGGTGTACAGACACGACCGGAATTACGAGCAGCTGTTTAATGAAGTCAGGAATAAGCTGGATCAGGTGGGTTTCTGCACTGGAGGGCAAGCATGGGACCCCTGACAGCCCAAGAAATGTTAGGTTTGCCTTCTGTCACTTGCTGATCTGAAGGCTTGTCTGCTAATCTCTCAGCATGCCTTGACTATGTGCTAACTGACCTTTTGTCAGTCAGAATTTAAAAGGAAAGGGATATAGCTGAGCATTTCCAGTTTCCTAAACCTGTGGCTCTGCCATCTTCTGCCACTTTAGCAACTTGAGCAGCAATAAGGGAAGGGCTCTGAACTAATGTTAGCAACTGCTTTGTTTTCAGAGTGCTCTCCCCAGTGCTGTGATGAACACCATCAGCGGGGAGCTGCAATCTTACAGCGACGTCTGTGATGCTCTGTCCGTCACTGAAATCACCCTGGGATTCCTGGCCATGGCTGGAGAGAACGGGGAAATGCTTCTGACCGACTACATCGAGAAAGTTCTGCAGATGGGCGATCAGACAAACCCTCACGTGCTGCAGGTGAGCCCTGAGAGTTTTCCCTTCCCCTGTAAGCAGCGTTTGCAAGGTGGGAGCGTCTCACAGCTCGTGATGCTCAGCAGGTTCTTGCAAAACCCTCCCGAAAGGTCAGGTGTGGGATGTGCAGAAGGTCAAACTCTTCGCAGATCCAAGCTCTTCTGTCAAAGGGGAATTCTCAGTTGAGTGTCAGCACAATCAGTTCTAGTGCTAAAACTGAGAAAAGGGAGAACTTTCAATTTTGAGTTGGTTTTCGGGGACACTGGCTTGCCTGGTGCTGAGCAGGATGGGAAATATCCCTTTTACCTCTCCCAAGTGGTGATGGGGCAGGGTTTATCTCCTAATGATGTGTGAAAAGAGGCGCCTCTCCGATTAAGGAGGCAAAGACACTGTGTTATGACAAGTACCTGTGACATAGCCCTATCAGTTTCCCAGTCCCTTTTGTGATATCAAAAGTATGAATTATTGGAGGCAAAATGAGGAAGAGGGAGAGAGAAGCCCATTGCAGGTGGACTTCTACACCCCTTAAAGGGCTCGATGATGTCCCTGTGATTGTGTTCCTCTGCAGTTTTGACCTGCATGAGCAGGGCAGGCCGTGGACAGGTTCCTAAATACATCCCATACATCCAGGTTCATTCCTCATGTGTTTTTCTTTCAGGCCCTTAGACAATGCCACCTAAAGCACAACATAGCCCTGTGGCAACTTCTCTCTACTCGCAAATCTGAGCAGCTTCTGCGCCTCAGAAGGGTAAGGAACACTGATAACTCCATGTCTAATCAGCTGCTTCCTCTTCTCTAAATGAAGTTGCTTAAATGTATATGGTTGATTGGTTTTTTTTAGGATCCTTTCGTAGACATCAGTACAGTCTACAAAGCTGAGCTCAGTCCAGAGCTTGCCAAGCTCCTCAACACCTTCCTCGTCCACTCAAGGCTGGAAACCTTCCTCCAGGAGCTGCATGAAATGATCATCCTGAAGCTGAGACGTGTCCAAGCTGTGGATGAGCTCAGACCCACATGGAGGTAACAGTTACAGAGCCCAAACCAACCCCCAGTTGTTGTTAAGTTTCTCTGCCTCTGAAAATGCGTGTGGTGGAAACAGTGCCCTGCCTGGCTGGACACAAGGCACAACCAGCAGCACTAAGGATATGCAGCTGGTTCTGTGACTCTTCATCTTACACAAGCAATTTTGGGAGCACTGCTGGAATTCACCAGGAGCTGCTGTTCATGAGCTCTAAAGATGAACACGAGCGCTTCAGCAGTCCCTCAGCTGAGCACTCAGCTCTCCACACCCACAGCTTGGCTTTAGCTGCTTGGTTCTGACCTGCAGCCCCCATTTCTGGGTTCTCCAGCCTCTCTGCAAATCTGCCTGGTGTTTTAATCCTTCCCATTACAAACTACACGTTAAAACTCTGCATTTAATGTTGGTGCATTCCTACCACACGAAACATTACGTGGTGTTTGTAGCTTGCCGTACACAGTCTGTTAATGCTACTTTTGCTCTGTTTTTCAGCCTGAAGGAATCGCTCATTCCTTACCTTGATGCAAAAGACTCAGAATTAGCTACAGAGCTGCAAGAGCTGTTCCCGGAGGAGATTCTTCTCTCTCACGCTACTGCCACATGGAAAGCGGCCGCTGTCTTCAAGAGAGAGCGTAGGGAGAGCTAGGATCACCACCAGCACTGTCCCTCCTACGCAGGGAGCGTCAGTGCCGCAACCACAGCATGTCAGTGAGGTTCTGGAAGCTCAGGGGGGCTGGGTTTTGGGGGCTGTTTTTTGGGTTTGAGGTTTTCTTTTACTGACTTCAGTACCAAAAGTTATAATGTGAAGGTGAGATGCTTTTATACTGTATAGAAGGATGATGCAGAGACTGCTGGAGGCAGCATGAAAAAAAAAAAAAGCCAAAGATTAAGATAATGCTAAAGATGAAGGATTTTTTTTCTTTTTAAAAGCATCATCTCCCTGCAGGTAGGGTTTTTTTGTAATCCGTATTTCTCCTGCCCCTCCAGCCCAGGCTCCTTCTCCTGTCCTGGGGCTGTGCTGCTGTCCCCATCCCCTGCCCCCGGGGCCTCCCAGGGCCGAGCCCGCTCAGCACCACCGCGGGAAGCTGCTCCTTCCCCACCTTAACCTCCCGCTGCGGCGGAGCCCTCGGCTCCCCCGGTGCTCGCTGCCGCGTCCCTC